TAATACAATTTTTTTTTGCTGCCTGCTAGGTAAAACTCAACGTATCTAACTCGCCAAAATAATTTTATTTAATTGGCACAAAACCGACGGTTCGAACGGGTAATTGCGTCCAAAATTCAAAACACGCTAGGAGCCACGATGAAATATTTTCGCCGATAATCTGTACAATACGAAATTTATTTAATTTTTGTTTTAATGGTGTCGTTAAAAATAAAAATTCTTAATTTATTATTTCTATTTTGTTTCCGGCGTTTTGGAGACCTGACAAAAATTATAAATTAACAGTACACGTCCAAATATCATTAGATGGATTTAACGATTTACTGTACTACTACAAATTATAAAGTCTGTTTTTAATATTTCATTCTAAAATAATTGTTGTTCATTACTTATCGTTTTAAGATGTGTCCCTAATGTATTTTACATTATGCCTAATTAAAAAACTTGCATGTTTACACGACTGTTGAACAGGAAATGTCAACATTTTAACTTATTTAATTTAGTCCCTTCGTTTCATTTTAATAATTTATCGATTATATTTATTTTTGTATATTTTTCAGTCGAATCAAGAACATAAGGAAAGAAAAAGAGTTCAACTTGTGGCGATTGTATTGTATCGTTCTCAGCACCTTACAAACGCATTACAAATTTTAAATTGATTTCACTTTCAAATCGTACGTTCCGATGTCGTACATTATAAAACAGACTTCGAACAGCAGTACATTAATAAATCGGTATTTTTCCACGGCGCATTTATAAGAATATTGATTATTATAGCATATTATAAGAAAACGTGATGATCAAAATGAAAACATTAAAAATATGCATTATATTTAGTGGTCCATTGACCAAATTACTTCTTTCAATTAGTTAATCTTTTTATTTAAGGTTTTGGTTGAAATGAAAAAGCTATTGTCACGAGCGGGATTCGAACCCACGACATTCGGTGGGCTCGAATCCCGCTCGTGACACTAGCTTTTACATTTCAACCAATACCTTGCATAAAAAAGATTAATTAATTGAAAGGATTAAAAATATATGTTAAAAAAAATTCATATCCTGACAAATAGGACAGACCTATCGAGGAGGTTTCTCTAATACGAAAATTAATAATTCACTACAAAAATTATTAATAAATTATTAATTATTCATACAGGAGGACTTATAAATGTGAGTGCGTCGATGGCAGAATATTGAATCCAAATCGGCTACCAGTTTTTAGTTTTCAATTTAGGTTACTTAAGGTACCTACTTAATTAAATTTGTTGCACTTGTTGATTATCCTACCATCACTTATGTGGTTATTCATGTTTATGTACCTTCGATTTTCTAGTAGGGTATGGTCGAGATAATTGTCATGAAAAACCTATGAATAAATTGTACATAATATTTAATTGTTCTTTCAGTAAATATTATTATGTCATAAATGTTATTACTTTTGAAAAATTTACTATTGTTACAGGAGACCGTAGAATTGTATACAAATAAAAAATTTGTAACAACCTAAACAATCTAAATTTAAAACAGATTGGAAATACGATACAAAACAACTTTGAAAATATTAAATTAAAATAATTTCTCTGACGTAATAGTTTTATAAGAAAACGTTAGTAAGCAAATCTACTATTATGATCCACTTATTACTTTCTTTCTTATTACTTTTATTTTTTTTATTTTTAAACTAGGTTATGCAAATTCTATTTAATAATCAATTGACAATTTAACGTATTTATTGAGTTGTTATTTTGCGAGACAGTTTAACTTTCAGAAATTGTTTAACAAAGTAATAATTATTTATCTTTATTGTCAATGTGTGGTCTACATTTTTTATTTCAAACACAAGAATAAAAACAAGCTGCTATATTTACATTATTTGATCAGATTAATCCAAAAAGCGTGTGTTTGCAATGGTACTTTAAATAACTATTCAAAAATCGTGAGATGCGGTCTGGTGACTGGACAACCGTGGATCGTGAGATGTTGTCCTGTCACCAGACCGCACCTCACGATTTTTGAATAATTATCGATTAACGGTCACTAATCACCACACATTTTAAATAACTTACAATTTGTTATGATCGTTATTTTTCTTTCGCGAATTTACTTAGGTTTCGTCTTTGGTGTACATTCCCTAAAAAGCAAAGTTTACAATATTTAAGGTGAGATCGTTCTTCCTTTTGGCTAGCAAAGATCAGCAGCATCATTAGCACGTATTTTCATTTTTGTTTTATGTAGCCAGACCAGGCTAAAATCTCGTGGGAGTTAAAATATAAAGTTTTTTTTTTAATTATTATTAAAGTAGGTAGTAAAAATAGCGCTTGATTTTTTCCGTGTGAATTTTATCGAGGTTTCGAACGTACAAGGCAAAGTTTCCGATATTTACGGTAAGATCTTTTTTTCTTTTGACTAACAAAGATCAGCGACATGACTACCGCTTAATGTCATTATGTCATTTTTGTGTTATGTGACCAGATCAGTCCAAAAAAATTCGTGGGAGTTAAATTGGAAATAAAGTTGTTTTTTAACCAAGGTACTATAGTATAACTATTTTTCTTGGGCGAATTTTATTTAGGTTTCTTCATTGGTGCGACATGACGACCGCGTATTGTCATTTTTGGGTAACTAGACAAATACAAAATTCAGCGAAGATAAAAGTAACTCACAAACATGGAAATAAATAGGAATAAGGTTTTTTTTAAACGAAATTACTGAAAGTAAAGCTTGATTTTTATCCGTGTGACTAATGTGATTCATTCTACAAGGAAAAGTTTTCAGTATTTAAGGTGCGATCTCAAATCTGAAATTTAAAAAAACTACTAACCAGTATTGTAATTTTTTCTATCCAGACCTATCCAAAATCTCGTGTAAGTTAAATTGAAATAAATTAGTTTTTTAGGGGAGAGACTAAAAGTAATGATTGATATTTTTTCTGACATATTTCATACTATAAGACAAAGTTTTCCATACTTTACCAATGATTTCAAATCTGAAAGAACGAACCAGTATTGCTGTTTTGGCCTTATGTGATCACGTCATTCAAAAAGCTCGTGGAAGTTAAATTGGAATAAATTAGTTTTTCAGGGGAGGTACCAAAAGTAATGATTGATACTTCTTGATTAATTGATTCTGACATACTTCATACTGCAAGGCAAAGGTTCCGATATTTAAGGTACGATGTCCAATCTGAAAGAGCTAACTACTAACTAGTATTGCCATTTTTGTCTTGTGGTCAGATCAATTCAAAAAACTCGTGGAAGTTAAATTAGAATAAATTAGTTTTTCAAGGGAGATACTAAAAATAATGTTTGATGCTTTTTTCTGACAACATCACCACTGCAAGGCAATGTTTTCGATACTTAAGGGGCGGTCTCGACCAGACCAATGGAAAAAACTCGTGGACGTTAAATTTGAATAAATTAGTTTTTAAGGAGGATACTAAAAATAATAATTTATATTTTTTCTGACATACTTCATATTACAAAATAAAGTTTTTGAGACTTCAGCTGAGATCCTAAATCTGAAAGAGCGAACTACTAACCAGTATTGTCATTTTTGTCTTATGTTACCAGATCAATTCAAAAAGGCTCGTGTTAAGTTAAATTGGAATAAATTATTTTTTTTAGAGGAGATATTAAAAGTAATGATTGATATTTTTCTGACATATATGCTTTTTGACGTCTTTCATGCTATAAGACAAAGTTTTCCATACTTTAGCAGAGATTTCAAATCTGAAAGAACAAGCTACTAACAAGTATTCTCATTTTTGTCTTATGTGACCAGACCAATGCCTCAAGAACTTGTAAGTTAAATTGGTGTAAATTAGTTTTTTAAGGGAGATACTAAAAATAATGTTTGATACTTTTTTCTGATAACTTCATATTGCAAGGCAAGTTTTCGATACTTAAGGGGCGGTCTCGACCATACCAATGGAAAAAACTAGTGGACGTTAAATTTGAATAAATTAGTTTTTAAGGAGGATACTAAAAATAATGATTCATATTTTTTCTGACATACTTCATACTACAAAATAAAGTTTTTGAAACTTCAGCAGCGATCTCAAATCTGAAAGAGCGAACTACTAACCAGTAGTGTCATTTTTGTCTTATGTGACTAGATCAATTCAAAAAAGCTGGTGGAAGTTAAATTGGAATAGATTTTTTTTAAGACGATAGTAAATATAATTCTTGATATTTTTTCTAACATACTTCATACTACAAAACAAAGTTTTCGATTCTTAAGATCTGAAAGAACGAACTTCTAAAAAGTATTGTCATTTTGGCCTTATGTGACCAAATCATTTCAAAAAAGCTCGTGGAAATTGAATTGGAATGAATTAGTTATTTTAAGGAAGATAGTAAATCTAATTCTTGATATTTTTCTAACAAACTTCATACTGCAAAACAAAGTTTTCGATTCTGAACATGCGATCTCAAATCTGAAAGAACGAACTACTAACAAGTATTGTCATTTTTGTCTTATGGGATCGGGTTTGTGAAAGAGATTAATGTGCATTTAACCACAGTTTATTTAACTAATTGTTGTTACGTTAAGTTCTCTTTTGAATTAATTTTATGAATGTTCCATCTTTCATATCGCCAAGAAGCAAATCTCTTTAAGGTGCGATGTTTCTTCCTTTTCCCTGGCAATTAGTTGCTGCTAATTTAAACAGCTATTCAATTAAGCCGTTCGGCAACATTGTTTCGCCCGGCAGGACTTGCATAGCGCATAAATTCAGGAGGTCGTCGCCGTCCGTCAGGGATTCGTGCATAATTCCAAGGCCGGGTGCAACAAATAAAGAAGACGCAAAGTCTTTGGGCGACAAATTGCCCCTTTAAAGATGACTGGATGAATTTTGAAAAAAAAATTGAAGAAGAGAAAAATCTTAGAAGAAAATTATGATGGGATATAGTTTTTTGTTTGTTTTTTTAGTTTTTGATGTTTAAAAAAAATTTGTATATGGTATAAAATTTATATTTAAAAAAAAAAAATTAAAAATTGACCTTTTCGTCGAAGACCGGCAGGACGCGTTTGGCAGATCTCGAGTCTTTGCAGTTGGGTACGCAGCATCTCGTGTTGTTCACCATGTCGCCGTGTCAAACGAAAGAAAAAAAAATAATAAAGAAAAAGTGCGAGGACCGCACCGAGGAAAGCGAAAGGTGGCACTAGGCCGATCCGGATAGCGGCTCCCCCACCGACTCCACTCCTATCTAATCTGGCGTCTGTCCGTTAGAGGGGCCACCCAATGGGGAAAGGGGTAGCCTAGGCCATGTCATCCATCAACAAGCGCTACATTGTTAACCATGGTCACGGTTTTTTTTTTCTTTCTTCTTCTTCTATTTGCCGGCCCTTTTTTTCCACTCGCGTATTTTCCAACTTTTTCCGACGAATTTACGGACCCGGGGCGTCCTGACGCCTATTGTCTCGGCCCTCGTGAATACATTTGTCACTTGTCTCATTAACATAAAGCTTCCACTTCTCGCATGTTCTTCTACCATTTCTTGACACCTATCCCTTTTCTCTCCTCTTTCTCTTCCAATTTTCGCTACAAGTTCAATAGCCGGACATATTTAGCGGTCATAATTGACCATATTGATTATTTCAATTAATTATTCTTTTTATCTAAGGTCTTGGTTGAGACGAAAAAGCTAGTGTCACGAGCGGGATTCGAACCCAAGACCTTCGGCCATAAAAATTGACTGACTCCACACGACACATAACACTGGCACATCTACACAGAAAACAAATACTTTGAGCCCTGAAGATGATCTCAATAAAGACCGAAACGTTGGCACGATAAAGAAAATGTTTTTCTTAAATCTACGTCACACCAGACCGATCCTCTCGGAGATTCTCACGATCTCCAAATAATTGTAAAAATTAAGTTGTTTTTCAATACAGGTTGGTCGGCTACTCGTGTTACAAACTTTGCCAGTAGATTCTACATTCAAAAAGGAACGAAAAAATCCTAATTAACTATGGCCCTAATCACAATAGTTTCGGAGTTATTTCACTCTGTCTTATTTTTTAAGATTTCACGACCTTGCTTACAATAAACAATGATAACTCCAAAACTAAAAGGTTTTGGACAAATCCGTTGATACCATTGAAAACTAAGTTAAATTTCCAATAAGATCTGATCAATCCTAAACTTATAAATCTTCGTGAAATAAGCGTTTTAGTAGCGAGAACATTGAAAAAAAAGTTCAAAATTGAAAAACTTACTATGGTGATTCTAAACTACTATTTCCAAACCTAGAGACAAGCAAATTTATATAAACGTACTCCATTTAATATCTTTTTTTAGTGGTACAATTGCTTTTTTAATTACTTTTTTCAAAGATGAAGAAACTGATGAAAGAAAAGAAAAAAACCGAGGTTGAAGGATTGGTAAGGTGGAAAGATTAATGATAATAAAAATAAAAAAAGTTAAGGAAATTTTGAATAAATTTATTAAATGTTTTTTAATTTTGATTCTAAATGCTCTCCACCCTCTGCAATGTAACCTTACCAATCGTCAACCACGGTTTTTTCCTTTCCTTCATCAATTTCTTCATCTTTGAAAAAAGTAATTACAAATGAAATTCCACCACTAAAAAGAATATTAAATGCAATACGTTTTCTTAAATTTGCTGGTCTCTAGGTTTGGAAATAGTAGTTTAGAATAACCATAGTAAGTTTTTGAACTTTGAAAAAAATATATTTTTCAAAGTTCTCGCTACCAAGACACTTATTTCACGAAGGTTTTACAAGTTTGGGATTGATCAGATCATATTGGAAATTTAACTTAGTTTTCAATGGTATCAACGGATTTGTCCAAAAGTTTTTAGTTTTGGAGTTATCATTGTTTATTGGAAGCAAGGTCGTGAAATCTTAAAAAGTCAGAAAAAGTGTAATAACTCCTAAACTGCTGAGATTCGAACCATAGTTAATTAGGACGTTTTGGTTCCATTTTGAATTTAGAATCAAGGGGCAAAGTTGATAACACGAGTAGCTGAACACCCTGTGATAAGCTGAAGAATAAATAAATAAAGTTTTCCTGCAATATTTTTTTTTCATTCTCTACTTACATAAAAATCATATTTTTATTTTTAAAAACACCAAATAATCTACAATTATTCAGAAATCGTGAGATGCGGTCTGGTGTTATGTAGGTTTCCGAAAAACATCTTCTTTATCGTGTCACGTTTCGATCTTTATTGAGATCATCTTCAGGCTCAGAGGGGCACTCACAACACGACACGTAAGAATGGCACAATTACACAGAAGACAAATACTTTGAGCCCTGAAGATGATCTCAATAAAGATCGAAACGTTGGCACGATAAAGAAAATGTTTTTCTGAAACCTACATCACACCAGACCGCATCTCACGATTTCTGAATAATTATCGATTAACGGTCACTAATCACCACACATATGATTTTATTGTTGGAAACCCATATTATTGAACAAATATGATTTTTACTAATTGAAAATTTAATTAGGTTAAGACTGTAATTATATCAGACTGCTTTCTCAAAATAAAGTAAGAAACTGTTTAATTTTTTGTCATTTTATGATATTTGCATGATGTTCAATTTAAACAAAGTAGTAAAAAGTGGTGCACATTTAAACTTGATCATATCATTTCATCAAATAACCTACGTTTGTTATCACCTAAATTATGTATGAATAAAATTACCTTTAAAAAGACATGCAATATTTCTTGACTTATTTATTATATGGGCAATAGTCCATTTCAGTACAATAATTACAAAAAAGGCAAAGAAACATGGAAAACATTGACATTTTAAACATTTTGACAGTAATAAAATAATAACATAGTGCATAATTTAAGTACCAACATTTGAATTCAAAAATACACCGAGGCCAAAAAGTGAAGATCCTCTTTTTTTAAACAAATACTTGCAATTGTTAATTTTTTATTTATTTTTTGTTGCTTACTGGATATTTTTAAAGAAAAATATAATTAAATTTTTAAAAAAATTAAAAACTGAACTGTGTATAAAAGTACACCAAATATTTTGCAATCAAAAATAAATAATATAATTAATATTATATTATTTATGCCATCAGTGTCGGGCACTCTCAACACTACACGCAAGAATGGCACAATTACACAGAAACAAACACTTTGAGCCCTGAAGATGATCTCAATAAAGATTGAAACGTTGGCACGATAAAGAAAATGTTTTTCTGAAACCTACATCACACCAGACCCCATCTCACGATTTCTGAATAATTATCGATTAACGGTCACTAATCACCACACGTAATTCATACTATTTATTATTATTAGTATTTATTTATTTTTTTAAGTGGGCAGATATTCAAAATGTAATATGCAATTTACCTTCATTAAGAGCTTCCTTAAGCTGCCAACATACTGCCCGGCATACATGATTCACCTAGATGGATGCGGATCCCACAATGCACAATAAAGCTCCACCATGACTACATAATAAAGGTTGCTAAAATGAGTGAGTTGCTTAACTAAAAAGTTGACAAGAGCAGTAACAGACCGAAATCTATCTCAGGCTAAAGAGTGGATGCTGATCGCGAGCAGGCTTGGTATGGATGATTGTTTTAGTCTGTGTTTCGGCTTCACGCCTTTTGAAATTTTTTAGACGCCAAAACCGACCTGACAGACCAACAAGAACAGAAGTTCATCATCTTGAAGACCTCAAGAAGAAATCCTACAAGAATGTAGCCCAATATTTTCCAATTTTCTACCACATTCGTTCAGAATTGTTAACAGTTTTTGGAAAAAAACGGGTTTGGGAATAAGGTTTAATTACAACATTAAAATCAACACAAAATAAAATAAACCCCTGCAGTAGGATGAAAAGAATGAGGTATATGCTGTGAAGAACGTCCCAGAAGATAGGTTTCCAGCTGAACACTGGAACAAAAATCTGAAGTGTTATTGTACCTTTTGGAAGTCACAGAGGATAAAAAGTTCTTGAAAAAAGTCCTCTGAAGAAAAAAAAAGACAAAATCTGCACACTGTACTGCTAACATCGACTTTTGTCCTTTTGCTTTGAAACTTTTGAACAATGTTATACATTTTAAATAGGCTATTAATTAATTATTAATTAGAAAGAATGTTAATTTTCTTTTGCAGACTGTTGATTTATCTGTTTTTCTTCCTGCATTTTTCTAACTCAACTGCCCTAATTGTCCACTTCATCTAGTAATAATGTTGATTTTAAGTTTATGCCTAGTACTAACATTGTCTTCTGCTTATTTGAATACGTGATTTAAAAAGATTATTCAACTTGCCAATGCATGTCTCATTTCCATGAGAATTACAGCAACCGATTTACCTCCAACCTTTGAAAGCTGAGCTACCAACACCTCTTTTATTTATGAAAAACGTTTTTCTGATTTCCTTGTACATTATCGGCTCTGTTGTATTGTTCTCATAACTATTTCAACCTTTTGTCCATTTTCATTCAATGTCGAGTTATTTCTTATCGGTGTCAGTGAACTTTCAGTAGACTGTATCTGCCTTTTCTTTGTGTTTTAAACTTTTTGTAATGTACTCTGGAGGAGTGAATGTGACCAGACTTCTATGTTTATGGTGATTAAATATTATGTATTGTATGTTTTGTGTCATTGTCCTGAAGCATAAACAAGTCTAGGATTTTAGGATACCGAAGTAGTAAACATAGAAAAGCAGAGTTTGTAACCAATCAAGATGCTCAAAAGGCTGCAGTAAAAATATACATAAAAATATACCTAAACAAAAAATATGCATAAAAGACCAGAAAAAGGATAACAGAGGGCTGGCTATGACCTCAGCTGTTTGCCAGCCCATAAACCTTCCATTTTTATAGAATTAAATAAATTTAACCATTTTTAAGAAAAAAAAACTAATTTTACTAAAATCCATCAAGAAAGAGTTTTATTAAGCTAATTTGATTTAGATTTCAATAATTAAAAATTATTGATTCAAAATTGATGAGGAATTTCATTAATTTTAGAGATTTTTATAGAAACAATTAGACATTTGTGGGTGTACTACTACTATTAATTCCAAATTGTAAACATCAACATTTTTCCCTTTTTTAGAAACAAGAAAGAGATAAAAAAATGTTTGTCGTGAATCTATTTTGATTTGTATTCATTTTATTTTAAACGGAATTAATTTATTGTTTCAGTGAGGGAACCAAAAAGTGGTATATTCTGGACTGGTAGAAGATATTCAAGGCGAGGATCATCAGAAGAGACCAAGAAAAAGGTCAAAACACGAGCTGAGAGTAGGTTCGTCATTGGTAGCCGTTACGGGAAGAGAACAGGTGAGAACAATTTTTCATAATTTATTCTTTTCAAGATGAAAATATTTTAATCTAAACCAATTCTGACAAAAAATAAAACATTTCATAAAATCGAAAATAAATGAAAAATTTATAACGTAGCAATAGGTATAAAGAAAAGTCAGTAATGATGAAAATGAGAACACAAAAAGATAAAATTTGTTTAAATTACAATTTGGTAGTTCAATCTTTAAAAAAAAATCAAATGAAAATAATGTAATGAACAAATTTAAAATGAGTAAAAATATTAAGTGAAGAAACATTTCCCGGATGATCTATTTTGTTTCACAATAGTATAATAAAATAGGGTAAATCTTGATTTAAGAGTTTGCCTTCAGATTTACTCTTTAGGAGATTAAAGTAAGTAATACGCAAACAAAAGAGAGGATTTTCTGTTTGTTTGATATTTAGAATGAAACACAGTTATCATAGCCAATTATTTACCTTTACGCTGTTTGCACTAATTTCAATGTTGCTCTTTTTTTTTCCAGATGTGGTGCCTCTAGACTTTGGATCCAACCTGTGCAAGTTTACCAGTTTTCACCCTCTTTATCCATGCAGCAATAGATAAAATCTTCTTGATTAATGTAAAGATGATGATGTAAGTTAATGTTGTGTTTGAAAATTTAAAAGCTTACATTTTCTGTCATTTCTGTTAAAATTATAATTATTAATCAATGAAAAATCTCTAGCAGCAATAAATGAAACTCGTTTTATTAATTTTCATCCTTTCACCTTAAAAAAACTCTAGACCCTTATATAATTAAACACTTTTAATCACTTTAATCAACCCTATTTTGTGATTTTTCTTTTGTGTAATTAAAAACTTCTGTAAAGTCTTGATGATTAATATAAATAAAAATATTTTTTAAAAATAACTGTGTACTACTCCTTTTTGGATAGTGGGTCTTTTGTTTGTGCAACTTGAGCTAAATATCTGCCCGCATCTTTGTGATTGTTTATTAAATCCTTAACTAGTTTTGTGAAATTGTGCCAAATTAGATGTCAAAAGTGAAAAAAAAAAAAAAAAAATTGTACAGAACAAAAACTAAATAAAAATATCTACCCGAGCTCTAAATCATTGTAAATCATTTGTGTACATTTATGTACATTGTTTATTATCAGTGTATGTACAAATTATGTGCTAATAAAGTTTGTCTGAACGTAGCTACAAACCTTTTGAAGGTCTATGTCGAACTTTACAATTTGGCTCTACAGCCCTGAAACATCATTGGGTAAATTAATTTATTATTAATGACATGGTGGATTTAAAAAGAAATACATTGGACATTTACATTCTTTAGTATTAAGACAGATTATTACAATAATCTTGGCATTCGTTCCTAGAGGATAGCATGCAGCCAAAAAATTAACTTACTTATCAATAGCGATCAAGATGCTGACAAAAAAATGCTAAATATTGATTCTTGTATACAGTAAGTATTCCAATGCTTTTACCACTGCGACCTATATAGTTCTGTTGAAAAATCTTTATGGGTTTTGAAGCCATGAGAAGGAAAATATTTTATAATTTACTGTGAATGGTTCGACACTTTTTTACAAACTGACGCATTATCCTCTGGATATTATATGATGTAAACATGTAATCCTTTTATGGATATAGAAATGTTGATTAACGATAAAACAATAACAAAATTAAAACTGTATAGACTCTGGTTATTGGTACCAACTCTGGTTGGTTGGTATGTTCAATGTTATCTATTATTGCCTGAAAAGTCTACTGAAGACTGCCCTAAACTATATTACCAATTCAAATATTAAAAGAAACAAAAAATGTTTCAACTTTTGTTCAAACTTTTGGCACACCTTGGCTTTTAATAAATAAGCTGAGTGAGGTTGAATTATAATTATGATCAGCATTTTGATTGACTCTATAATAAGATGAAAACAGGGCGATTCAGTACTCATAAGAAAAAGTTTGTCAGGTGCTTTTACCCATCAAATGCTATAAAAAAGTTCATATGAACCATGGTCCAATTCTCAACCCGTTCGCAGATAAGCAACATTTTATGTTTTGTTCAACTATCTACAGTTTTCATCATAAATCTACTCATACACAAATCTACTGTAGTTCTTGAAGTATTCATTTTTGGGAAAATCCAAAAAGCATTGAAAATTTTTTTTTTAAAAAGGCACCTTTCTAGAACTTCCCATTTTTTGTTTCCAACCAAAACCTGCTTAATTTAAAATTTGAAAGATTAACTGTAGAATTTGGCAAATTTTGTAACTTCTTAGTTTAATAAGCTTTCTAGTGGTATCCCCTTTTCGGTAATTGCATTGAAACAAAATACAAGTTTTATGCTAAATGGGAAAAAGTAATGGTAGGAAAAAATGGAATGGAGTTAACCTAGTAATTCAACTTTTTGTCCTGGGCAAAATTTTATTTCCCAACTTTAGATTGATAAAAAAAGCACAAAAAGAAAGAAAAATGAACAAAACATATAAAAATGAGAATAAACATAGCAGAACAAACGAAGCAGAAAAATTAGCTAAAATATCTACACTAACCTCAGACAAAACAATAAAGAACAATATGAAAGTTGTAAAACCCAACTTTAACCTAATAAAAAAGCACACAAAAAATTGAACACAAAAAAGAATGAAAAAAGAGAACAACTAAAGCAGAAAAATTGGATAATACATCTACAGTATCTACACTAAACTTGGACATCACAAAAAAGAACAATACAGAAGTTGTACAACTCAACTTTAACCAAATAAAATAAAATTGACCAACATATAAAAAAGAGAATAACCGTAGAGAACAACCAAAGCAGAAATTGTATGCTAAATGGGAAAAATGGTAACGGTAGGAAAAAAGGGAATGGAGTTAACCTAGTAATTCAACTTTTTGTCCTGGGCAAAATTTTATTTCCCAACTATTGATATATTGATAAAAAAAAGCACAAAAAGAAAGAAAAATGAACAAAATATATAAAAATGAGTTAATAAACATAGCAGAACAACCGAAGCAGAAAAATTTGATAAAATATCTACACTAAACACAGACAAAACAAAAAGAACGATATGAAAGTTGTAAAATCCAACTTTAGCCTAATAAAAAAGCACACAAAAAATTGAACACAAAAAATTTTACAAATAGAGAACAACCAAAGCAGAAAATTGGGTAATATATCTACTCTAAACTTGGACAGAACAAAAAGAACAATACAGAAGTTGTAACACCCAACTTTAACCAAATAAAATAAAATTGACCAACACATAAAAAAGAGAATAACCATAGAGAACTACCAAAGCAGAAATTGTATGCTAAATGGGAAAAGTGGTGATGGCGAGGAAAAAAGGGAGTGAAGCTAATCTAGTAATTCAAATTTTTGTCCTGGGCAAATTTTATTTCCCAACTTTAGATTGATAAAAAAGCGCAAAAAAAAAAAGAAAAATGAAACAAAACATTAAAAAAAATGAGATAATAAACATAGCAGAACAATCAAAGCAGAAACATTGTATAAACCAGTTACACTAAACACAGACAAAAAAGAAAAAAGAACAATACAAAAATTGTAAAACCCATCTCTAACCTAATAAAAAAGAGCACAAAAAACTGAACAACACATATAAAAGAAAATAATCATAGAGTAAAACCAAAGGAGAAAAATTGTATAAAATATCTACACTAAACATGGACAGAAAAAAAAATACAGAAATTGTAAAACCCAACTGTATCCTAATAAAATAAAATAAAATTGAACAAACACTTAAAAAAAGAATAAACATAGAATAATAAACAACCAAAGCAGAAAGATAAGCCTAAAAATAGGCGAAACAAAAACCTTTTGCTTTATTGAAATGAAAATGAATAGATCAAAGGCTACGATTTAAGATGAAAACTGAAGATAGGTGAAAATAACAAAACTTTGAATATTTGTGAAAGGGTTGAGAATCGCACGGTGGCTCATACCAACATTTTTGTCGCATTTAAGTTTATAAGCACCTGATGAACTTTGCAGTAAGAGTATTGAAAGTGTAAAAAAGTATTGAGTGAAAACTTTTATTGAAATTTTAAGTAAAAAATAATAATTATAATAATTCCTGTCATACAGGAGGGCTTAATGTACAACTCCTCTTGTGTCACAGACAAGGGGTCAAACCGCTTTACAATATTTCCTTCATATTATTCATAATTAAACATCCATGGGCTCTGCCAGGATTTGAACTCAGGACTGCTAGTGTGGTCAAATTTGAGACGGACACACTAGACACTCGACCACCGCAGTCCCCAGATGATTCTGAAAATTAAACATTATCATAAAAATTAAATGGCATTTAATTTTGCAAAAATTGTTTGGTTGCTGTCAGTATACATCTCTTATGAATAAAATAATTTCTTATAGATTAATTATTTTAAAAAAGGGATATTTGGAATTATATCTAGTAAATAGGAAGAAAAAATGTACAGAAAACATTATTACAGTTTCTTTATATGAATTACAATGTTATTTTACAAACATAATATTGGACTTCAAAAACATTTACACAATTTTTTTAAATAATAATAATAGCTCCAACTATTATTATGGCTGCTACAATAGTATTTTCAAATAGACACACACTATGTTAATGAACCCAATGTTTTAATTTACAATTACAGTAATAAACCTCAATTAAATACTTATATATTTAATGTGTAGTGAGGGATGTTACGTCATGGGTTACATATAATAGTTTAAAAGATTATTTAAAATTTTATCCATTTTTTCCATCCAAAAGAATTTTATAATTTTTTTTGTTTTTTTAATTTTTTTTCTCTCCGTTCGTGTGAATCCCATTTGCCCCAAAAAGTCATACACATCGACCACGCATTCAAATATTATGTAGTATGCAAACTACCTTAAAACTATAAATGTGATTTTTTTGAAATAGAATATTGTCTGTACAACAGGGGTATTCAAAATACCCCTCAAGTGTTAACTGTAATTAAATATTTAAAATGAACGTTAATATTTGTACAGAAAATAAAAAAATAGGCCTTTGCTATATTTAACATATTTTGGTAGAAAGACTGTTTGCAGGCTTCACTCTAAAAATATTTCACTTTTCGATAATGTGATTCAAAACGGAAAACAAGAGCGATGAAAAAATAAACTGTAAAAAAAGGGCAAAAAAAAAAGAAAAATGGAAAAATCTTTGATAAAATATGAGAACTATAAGTAATTTATCAACCTTACATCAAGAGAACACTAACGACCTAATACCTGTTTTCAATGTAAGACGGTCCGTGAAGAACTTAAAAAATCCAAAGTCGTTTTTACTCGGGTGTAATCATATAAAAAAATTGGTGAATTACAAGCTACTTAATTAAGTTCAGGACGGACCGGATCATCGTATAGATATACATATATATCAATTAATTATACATTAATTATCCTAGAGGCACATAACTTTTACAGAGGTAGTACCCACTATGTACAATGAAAAAATACAAGTGATTTGCCAATTTAATATACATGCGTAAAAGCAATTAAAATTTACAACAGAAAAATAATCTATGAATTTAAGAAACATCGGCTGTTCCTTTGGGACTATAAAAGCAAATACAAAAGTAATAAATAGTTTTATTCCTTGTGGTTACTAATAAACTAAGTCAGTTCTTACAACATTAAAAATAAATTATATTTACAAAATATTTACTCACTTATAAAAGTTTGATTATACTCAAATATAGTCTGTCTTGAAATATATTTCAACAAAAGGTGATCAATACTCATTAATACTTCATGTACAAGTTTTCTTTTTTTAACTGAATAAACCAAATTTAGGTTTTAGAACAATCAACAAAAATAATACAAAATACTGACTTTTCAAATTAATAAACTAATTTTTATACATTTTTTATTGAAATAATTGAAAAAGAAACATTTGGAATGATAATTTTGCTTGGCTTACATTTGGCAGCATTATTTAATCACAAACATTTAACAGTCACCAGAAAAAGTGATTTCTAAAGTCTAGAAAAATGTAATTCAGAGAAAACACCAAATTTCAAAGATTTTTAAACATCGATTTACAAATTGTCAACTACTAATTTAGTGGCATTGTACATCTTTTAAAATTGTTTGACTCGTCTGAGATAAAACATCCATATAGTACAGCGAATACTTAAATGGAATGAGAACACTTAGAATAGTATTGAAAAAAATAGACATGATGAGATCTAAATATGAGTAATAGCTAATTAATAAAAAAACTAATCGTGGACAAAGTGGGCGACAATTACTTTTTTGAAGAAACGTGTATCCATTGCTAGTGAATAAAATATTTTAGACAAACTATCAATAATTAATAATTCAAATCTCATCAACACCAAGTAAACATCTTAAATGTACAAAAATAGTTAACAACAAAACTGCATTCGTTAAAATTGTACGATCGACATCCATCGCTGTGCTTGTTAAGTGCAAATAATCAAATATCGGAACACCAAAATTTACTAAGTAACGATAAAAACATATTGCGTTTGCATCCGAAACTAATGAATTCACAAAAATGCCAGTATACATTGAAGACACAAGAAAATTTCTTAAGTGGACATATCACATATGGGAAAATTTAAGTTGCACTCTTAGCTGCAAGCAACTCGGCCCACCGCGTCTCAAAATACAGTCGGAGAGAATGGCCCGCTTTGCCCACTGGTGAGTTGTCCTCGTTGAAAGTCTCGCAGTTATCAAAGATCAGCCGAACATCAGAAACGAATTCCTCTTTAGATTTATATCTGCAAAACAAATTATACTTCTAGACAACTGTATAGGCAGGATGGAAGAGCTATTCCCCTCCATCATACGGTGGCGTATGACAAAATTAAAATGAGATACCACACTATGTAATAAAGTAATGTTTGAAGGCTTAAAAGATGAATATAGAGATGCCAGACCCGTTTTTACAAGTACAAAATGGCAGAGGGTGTGGGGTGTGATGGGTACACAGGGGAAGAAATTAAAAAATTATAAAAACTAAATGCCACATTCTTGCTGAGCATGATCAAAAATAAAAGCCATAAGTCCTTTTAGTTACATACAGATTCACTCAGTGCAGTCTAGAAACTCAGGAGAAGAGCCTCTGTGAATATATTAGGCTATCCTAATAAATAAGATAGAAGAACAGGTAAAAGGGATCGATGCAGTTGGGAAGAAAGTTGTGTTGGCATGAGTTTCCGATTACATAAGGATAGCCAGGAATGAAGAAACAGACAGGCGACAAAAGAAACCGCCAGAAGACCCCACATTGCTTCTCAACCTGTATGCCCAGCGGATCTAAAACTATTAATTTCAAATACATAAAAAAAAGAGAATGGAAAAACCGTTGGATTCGTAGAAATAGAACTGCGGCAGGTTAAGAAAAACGGCCCATGGAGGATAGTTCAAAAAAGGAAAAGACCATACTGACCAGACTACACATAGGTCATACAAGAATAATGCCTTCTGGTCTGGAACCAACTGCACAGGTGCCTATTATGCAGAGATAGAATAACAGTCAAGCACCTTTTCAACTGTAGGAGGCTTGTCGTATATAATCAATATTTTGGCATAACATCGGACCTGTACACAATCCTGGAACATGGCAGTGGGCCCAGATCGCTGTTCCGTTACCTCAGATTAAAGGCATTTTTAAATGCAAGTAGTATTTGTTTTGTGTTTATTTTAATTTACTGGAATGAATATAATTTATTAGTGCCCTGAACAAATATCGAGTAGTCTGGGGAGAGTGAGTGGCTTCGGGGAGTAAAAGAACTTATTAGCAAGAATGAAGCAGGTTCGACCATGCTCCTGCGAGTATCGAGTACTCTGGGTGAGTAGTGACCAGACTTCTGTTTCTATCATGTGTTATGTTTATATTAGTTTATTGGAATGAATGTATTTATTAGCTTGCAATGAAGGGGATTCTTAACTCCCCCGTGAGGAAGTTTTCGTACTCTGGGGTAAAAGAGGTGACGTCTGGAGAGTAAAAGTAAGTTATTAGCAAACCTGAGTTGGTTCAACCCCATCCCAAGGTATAATGAGTACTCTGGGGGAGTGAATTTGAGTAGACTTCTATATTGTATCTGGTGTTGTTTATGTTAATTTATTGGAATGTAACTTATTAGCATGAAAGGAGGGGTTGCTTAACCCACCCTGAGAAATATCGAGTTGTCTGGGGAGAGTGAGTGATTTCAGGGAGTAAAAGAAGTTATTAGCAAGAATAAAGCAGGTTCGACCATGCTCCTGGAATATCGAGTGCTCTAGATGAGTGAATGTGAGACCAGATTCGGTGTTGTGTTTGAGTTAATTTATTGGACTGAATGTAATTTATTAACATGAAAGGAAGGAGTTGGGAATGGAGTGGGTTCAACCCCGTCTGAATGTGGAGTAGTCGGGGGAGTGAATGTCACAAGATTTCTATGTTTGTGGAGAATACATATATTATATGCAAATGCGACCAAGTTTTTCATGGTTTGTGTAGGTCTTGTAGGACGGATTGGAAAGGACAATTTGTTTTGAATCTGCCTTGAAAAGAAATTACAGTCCCCGTTATATACCACAGACATGGTGTAGTGCAAAGGTAGTGTTCATACTGAAAGTAGGGAAAAGAGACCCTACACTACCCAAATCCTACAGACCAATCAGCTTAAAACATCCTTTCTCCTGAAAGCTGATAGACAACCATACAAGAACGACAGCGCTGGTAGACAAACCACTCCATCAACGTCAGCATGCATACAGAGTAGGAAAATCAACAGAAAATGCTCTGTACCAATGAACCAGTGACCTAAAGGAAACACTGGAAACAAGATTAACAGCAATCTGTGTGTTCCTCGATATTGAAGAAGCCTTCGACAATGCATCTCATGCATCCATGGAAGTCTCCCTAGGGAAAAAACACGTAGATGGATTGGAGAAATGCTGAAACAAATGTAGGACCAGACATTTCAGAAGTTAGCACAACCAAAGGATGTCCTCAAGAAGGGGTACTGTCGCCTCTTCTATGGAGCCTAACAGTTGATGAACTGCTCGAAACCCTGGATCGTAAAGAGATAAAATGTCAGGGATATGCGGACGAGTCCTGACTGCCAGGGGAAAATTCGAGGAAACTCTCTGTGAATCCAAGAGGGATTAAAAATCACAGAAGAATGGTGTAAAACGCTGATTTAAGCATCAACCTTAATAAAACAACCATAGTCACTTTTACACAGAAAAGAAAACTAGATCACATGAGGCAAATAACATAGATAGAGCTCAAAGAAGTCAAATATTTGGGCATCACACTAGATAAAACACTGACATTTAAGAAACACATCGGCTCTACCATCACGGCGACGCGAGGTTTGATGGTGTGCAGAAGAATAGCAGGAAGGAACTGGGGATGTAGATGATAGTAAGAGCCATACCTACATATGGAGCTGTAGCCTGGGCCGACAAAGCAGAACAAGTAACTAAAAGAAAAGAACTCAAAAAAATACAGACTTGCATGCATTTGCATAACGGTAGCAATGAGAACATGTCCCACAATTAGCATGGGAAAAGTATTGGGGTTAATCCCCCTACACTATGTGGTAACAAGGACAGCGCAGAAAACCATCATTAGTATTATCAAAGAGAAATCTCCAACAGGAATAAAACTAAAATGTAGAGACAGCAACAAAATAATGAAATCTGATACTCATGGTTCTGAGAGACGACATGAACAGGATGTTCGAATTCACTCAAAACTTCCAAATAAATCTAGGTACCAAAAAAGAACGGGAATGAGAGGGAAACACCTTTAAGAATGGCACCATCCTTTGGTACACAGATGGATCTAGAACACAAGAAGGTACAGAGGAAGGAGTATTCGGTCCTGGAACCAAATTCTCAGAACCCATGGCAAAATCCACCAGTATATTCCAAGCTGAGATTCACGCAATCGAAAGATGTTCTCAACTCAACCTGAATAAAGCCAGGAACACACTTACCCGATGCTACCCGACGCCTTGCCACGTTTTGGTGGGGTGTGCACATCTATCAGACGCAAGCACACGTCGCGTACAGTCCACAGCATTTATCACAATAATCACTATCACAATCGCAACGCATCTTTTGTTCTTAATGCACTATTTTGAGCAAAACCTTGTAATAAATTGTTAGTTAAATTTTATGGGCACAACCATCTAATAAATTGTTTGTTAAACTTAATTGTTTTGAATAAAGTTACTCCTAACCATCTAATTAAACAATGTTAATAAAAACTTATGCATTTTTGATCTCGTTTAAATTGGTTTACATTAAAATAACATGTCGTAATTAATATAACGACAAAATTACATGTACTTAGTTTGAAATAAACTACAAAAAAATATGAGTGTCCTGTTCTGATGCCACCTGACATTACAAAATGGTGTAATTTCATGAGCAAAACTATGAAATAAATTGTTAATTAAATTTTATGAGCAAACCATGTAATAAATTGTTCCAATTTTAGTATATGTACATCCGAAGCGAGTACAATAAATTGTTAGTTAAATCATTATATCAAAAAATTGTATTCCGGTGTTTTGATTCATTTTCTACCAAACCATTAAAATTAATTTTTTAAATAAAAACTAATTAATTTTTAATCACAGTTAATTTGGTTTATATTACAATAAGTATGTTGTAATTAATATAACGACAATAATACATGTAGTTTGAATAAAAATATGAGTGTCCGGTACTTTTGTTTCGACTGTACTCGATGCGACCCGATGAAAATCTAGACAGTGGGGATCACAGAGCTTCGGGTAGGTTAGCGTGGCATAGCATCGGGTAGATGTGCACGGGGGTAATGCAACCTTATGGAAAATCAGAGTTTGGATTTGTGTCGGGTAGCATCGGGTAGCGTCGCATGGCATAGCATCGGGTAAGTGTGTCTCTGCATGTGCCATCTTGGATCATTCCAATCTTCTTTAAGTCCTTTTAGGAATGCTATTAGGATTCGCAGTTTGTTCTGTAATTTCTTTTCTTCCAAAATTGGTTAGAAGATTCTGTTCGTCTGGCTTAAAGGGTACAAAAACAAGAACATAGCTATCATGTCAGATAGCTAAGCAGCCATCAAAGCACTAAGCTCAAATATTATTAGTTCAAGGATGGTGCTGAACTGCAAAACCAAACTAAACATATCAGGTACACAGAACAAAGTCAGCTTCTGCTGGATCCCAGGACATATGGGAGTGGAAAGCAACGAGAAAGCAGACACCCTTGCAAGGCTGACAGGACCTGAACCCTTCTGTGGCATAGGAATGCCAGACAGAAGGCAAAAAGAAAATGAAGGAACTATGGAATTCACTCATTGGACGCAGACAATCCAAGAATCTTCTAACCAATTTTGGAAGAAAAGAAATTACAGAACAAACTGCGAATCCTAATAGCATTCCTAAAAGGACTTAAAGAAGATTGTGTAGAGATTAGTGACCGTTAATCGATAGTTATTCAGATATCGTGAGATGCGGTCGGGTGTGATGTAGGTTTCAGAAAAACATTTTCTTTATCGTGCCAACGTTTCGATCTTTTNGACTGAAGATGATCTCAATAAAAGATCGAAACGTTGGCACGATAAAGAAAATGTTTTTCTGAAACCTACATCACACCCGACCGCATCTCACGATATCTGAATAATTAAAGAAGATTGGAATAATCCAAGATGGCACATGCAGATTCTGCAAAGAGGCAGAAGAGACCCAAACACATCTACTAACAAACTGCGGAGCTACACTTGCACGCAGGAGGAAATGTTTTGGGATGTATAATATCACCATAGAAGAGCTTCAACCACTGAAACCGGGCCTATTAATCAAGTTTCTTGATGAAATAGGACTCACCGATGTGCTTTAGGCAGAAAACGGGGGATACAATAGTTCTTAAAGGGCGCAGTATATTACACCCCGAATATTATTAGGAGTGGCAGGAGAGGAGGAAGGTTAAAAAGGGAGAAAGGACTGATTGTAAGAATAAGAGTAATGGAATAAAGAGATTAAATAAATACGAGTAATTACTTAGTATCATGTCCGAGTGATGAACTGTTAATAGTGTGTACACTATTACAATGTGTTCTTCTTCCATTTGCAAAAACTTACCTAGCGAACCCGAATTTTCTATCTACAGCCACCATAACTAAAACCTGAAGCTGCCTGGATGCTGAACCCGACATCTGTCTCCAGCTATCAAAAATTAAACCCAGCATATCTAAATTGTGCTGGCCAAAACAGCCTCACTCTTCTCATTAATTCATTAATCATTAATGTTCAAATTACATTTGAATTTGGCTTGTTTTACATACCTACTGATTATGTTCTGTCCAATTTAATTTTTGTTTCAGATTTTGTAAATAAAATTAAGTATGTCAATCTAATGTTTTCATAATATCTCTCTCCAACACCTAATTAGGAATCGACTGGCTAATTAATAAAACTTTAATTTACGACATGTATTATAGGTTTCTAATTTGAAATACTTAAATGCGAGGTGTCCGCCCTGGATTTTGTTCCGTGAAAAGGGTCTGTTGGGAAAAAGTTTGGGAAGCCCTGCTCTACACAGTAATAAGTAGCGAAGCGCTTACGCTGACTACTCTCTTATTGCTTAGAGAAAAACAAGCAAATATAGAGAGATATTTTGGCCATCGCCCGCTTATAAAGTAATTTATCTTTACGATTTCTAAAATATGTCTTTTATTTCTGTGTTTAAACACTCACTCGTTGTGGTTCAGCCGTTTTGCAATGGTCTGAAGGTCCATCGGGTTCCTTATGATTTTTTTGTAAGTCGGAAACTGTTTTGTGTTGACAGCAAGGAGAAAAGGCCAAGATTCATCGTGGGACTGGAGGTCTTCCAGTATCTGGTGGCAGGGAGCCAGGTCTTTGTTCAGCTTTTTAGACGATTTTTCTTTTTTAGCAGGTGGAGGCGTTTCTTCTTCTGCTGGCAGAGCCCTGCAAATTTCAATGATTCAAAACTAAAAATTATACAAATGTTTAATTGTTCACTTACACAGGGAGGCTTTCGGTCGAATTTGTAAGCTCCTCGGGTTTGACAGGACTAAGCGAGTTGTTCTGCGTATTCTGCGACCTTCTCGTCTTCTTCTTTGTGTGCTTTGAAGCACAATTTGTACAGTACCACTTCCCTCTTGGAACCTTTAAACATTTTTTTTACATGGATTGTTTGTTTTTTGGGCTGGATTTCAAATCATTTGGTGTTGACACATTTACATCATTAATTTTGTATTAACATGAGGGGGATCAAGTTCACACATACCTTGTTCAACGGAGGTGTCATGCAGTCAGTGTGGTAGGCGATGGGACAGGCTTCGCAGGCGAGGAGATTCCTCCCGACTTTCTTTCCGCAGACGATGCAGTTCTTTTCGCCCTTGGCTTTGTTCAAACACTGGTGACAAAACCTAAAACCAAACCTGTTGAAATCAGCCCAAAAACTTGGGTCTACCTCCGGGTCGAATCAACTCACCAGTCTCCTTCAGGGATATTTTCCATTTTTGGTTTAAAGCAATACGTATGATAACCTTTATCACAGCCGTCACAAAGGAGTAGTTTATCTTCGTTGTCACCAGAATGACAAAACTGACAGTTCTAGAAAAGAAAACAACAGCCCTAGAATATTTTAAATTGTAATATTTTATCATTTAATGTTAACGTTTTAAAGTAAATGCAATATTGACCGAACTAAAAAAGAACATGACCAACAAAATGCTAGGGTTCATGCTCAATTACTTAACATAAATCTGAACTTTCATACAAAATGCTCAGTGTTAAAATGTTTGATGCGAGGGATTATAGATAAAAGTTAAAATAAAATTGTATGCACATTAAACAAGTCTCAAATGCAATCAACTCACTTAAAACTTAATTAGCTGTGCGTCAATCACCTCTAAAGCATATTCATATTATGTTAATTCTCAAGGGGTTTTTTTCTTGTTAATTCTGTTAAAATGCTCACTACTTATAATAATAAAATTATAATATTAAGAACATTTATTAGAAAGCTATAAATCTTGCAATAAAAATGGATTTTAAAACTTAAATATTAACAATTACTGAAATAAACACCCCATTAATTCGAGTTTCTTTAGGTTTTCAGATTCTTAACCTATTTATAGGGCATAGAATATTTTGCGCTAAATATATGAGTAATTTGATGTTTTAGCATAACTAAAAACTCATGAAAACATAGATAAACAATAGTTGTGCTCCACGTGATCGGGTGGTGTAATGAACCTGTATTGTGGTCGTTACCGATCAGTTTTGGTTCGGGCAATCTTCACTGGTATGGTCTGTCAGACGTATTTCACCATTTTCACTTGTACCTACAGCAAGGAGGGTTGAAACTTTATACTATTGAAAAATTGAGAGATTTCTAAGGTTTCTTAATTTCAATCTTCAGATATCTTGTAATGGGACAAAAAAAAATTTTTTTTAGCTATGAGGTAAACAGGGTAAAACTCTTCCACTTGAAATGGAAGAGCCCACCAGAAAGTTGGGCGACAATGATGCAAAACTCCTGGGCGGTAAAAGGAGCAGAGGATAGCAAATAAAGATGAGCTGCTAAAGCCCCACCAGGGCGGGGCGATTGAGAGAAGAGGGGCTGGCCGCCAAGAGGACAGCCAAGGCAGGCCTGTTGAGGATGCGAGCAATAAAACATGTTTTCCTTTTTGAACGGTTTTTCATCAAGCCATGGGACTCCAGAGGTCCTTGAGGGAATCTGAGAAAGCCATAAGAAACCAGAGAGATCACCAAGAGTTACAGAAGATCCCAAGCGTCAAGTTTGACGGTGAAAAAAGTGAAGTTTTGTTTATTTTGTCAAGATATTTTATGTTAGTTTTAACTGTGAGTTGGCCAATAGAGATTTAAGTTTTAAGTTATAAACAAGTGTTAATTGTTATCCTAAAGGTCACTATTCCTTGGAAAAAATAGTGTGGCACCCATCATTTATTGACACAGCCCCCAAACTTTTCCACTGAGCTATTAGCGGCACCCATAACTTGGGCTGGTTGCCACGGAACCTGTGACAGTTTGAATCTCTTTCTGTTTGCATAATTATAAATAAAAGATTTTTACATTAAATCAAAGTTTTATTATTTTATTCTTTTATTTTTATGTATAAACCATTGTATTTTTTTTTTCAAAAGAAAAAGAAATAATGTGATATATGTATATGCTTTTTAAAGCCCATTTGAAATTATGTCAGCTTCAAATGCAGGGTCGCTGGATTCGAACCCGAGACCTTTAACTTACAGTGATTTTTGTGTCAACACCTAACCCATTGTGGCCACCGATGCCCCCAATTATCTATTGTTTACTTGGTTTTTCTATAAAACTAAAGAAACGAACTAATGGGGTTTATAAAAAAGCGTAAATCTAATAAAAGGTAAATAAAGCGCTTCATGCGATTACCCACAGTAGGGGCATTTTGTTGAGGACTCACGGCTTTCATTATGGACTTGTCCCAAGCGATGCTGGCTTCAAGAGCATGCTGGACCATAGAAAGCTGAGCCGAAGTCTGCGATTTCTGAAGGGCTTCCTTCCAAATTACAAGTCCCTTGCAATCGCGGCTACCTTCCCCTTCATCGACATTGTTGCAACTCGCCGCCAGTTTCAGGTCTCCCGTGCTAAAAATGACAAATTTTTGTTATTTGGAATGGATTATAAATTAAATATTTTATACGCACTTTGCGCCAAGCGGCGGTTTGAGGTAGCGTTTCTCGATATTGTCAAACAGCTGAGAGAGTCTCTCTTTCGCCACAGCAACGGGGTTCACAGATGGACTTGGCGCTATACAAGCTGGCTTAAATTCAATTCCACTCGACGAAGCTTTCGGAGGAACTTTCCATCCCTATGTTCACAATAAGACATTATAAAAATACAACAAGATTTTAAAAATGTTTCTATTTCTATTAATTGACAATAGAGGCTGCAACCAAACAATTTACCTTTAGCTGCATACTGGCAGATGCGACTTTTTCTTCAAGCGCTTCGACTTGAGTGAGAATTGCCAAGTCAATCCTGAGGGCCGTTTCTTCACTCCAGTCATCCGGACTGTCCACGTTAGATACAAAATCCTCAGGGCAGTCTTCTTCTTGCTTGAAATCGGACTTTGTTGGGTCCCCGCTTGTGCTTGCCTAAGAAAAGAAAATTAATTTTTTGAAATCGGTACATAATTTCAAGGGACGTTACCAATAGAGTGGAATCCCAGGTATGGTCGGTTCTCAGTCTCGTGATGCTGGCCATAAATTCGCGCTCCCTTACGCCTCTTGGATCCAGGTTGGCTACGACCTCTTTCATCATTGGCATTGAGATCTTCCACCAACCTTGTCTCAAATCTGAAAACAATACAATTTACATTAATTTAAAAAGGAAAACTTTTTTTTATTTAATCTTCAATACCTTGGGAAATTGGTATCGGCTTTCCAGGTTTAGGCAGGCCATGCGTCTTACAATGTTCAAGCAATGCAACTTCATCAGCAGAAAGAGGCAGCGGTAGAGGAGAAGGACATGGAGACGGCGAGCCGTACTGCAGCTGCGGGATTCTCAATTCACCGCTTGTATCAGACCAGCACCTAAAATAAATACAACATTGATTCTCATCTTAATTTTTGCCCTTTTAATTCATTACCTGTACCCCGGTTGTGAATTAGTGATACTTGTCGAGTCACAAGGGTCTTTGGGAAGGATACTGAACCATTGGACGTCATCATGACTCACATTATTGGTGTGGTGGATTCCATTTACAGCGTTTGACTCTTTTTCCATGCATTCTCCGAGTCTTTCAAACTATAAATAGATGCTTAAGGTAGTAACAGGTTATAAAACACGCTAAATGGACAGACCTGTAGGACTCGCTGTGGTGCTTTGACCTCTTCTTTCACTTCTTCTTTAACTGGAGAATTTTCTTCTTTCAAAGGTTCCTCCTTGAGGTCTTCAGATTTAGGTGGTTCAGTCTCCGATGTGTCCATCTTTTCATCACCATCTACATGAAGTTCATCATTATCGACTGATTCATGTTCCTCATCTGGTTCTGATTTCACTTCCATCGCTTCATCTTTCTTGTCTTCGTCTTCCTCCTCTTCTTCATCTTTTACTGACGGCGAGCTAGGTTTCTAAAAATAATTTCTCATGAGATAAAACCTCAAAATAAAACCGAATAAAGAAATTAATAAAATAGCAAAGCATTACATAATATAGTTCTGGATCACCAGATTCAATAGCTTCAACATAAATCCCGGTACTTAGGCACCAGTACCTCCTACAAAATCTATCCTGCCCTATGCAAGATGATCTTAACTGGGATGTGTAATCTAGAAAAACAGCAATTAATATCCATTTTTTTATATCATCATTGATTTTTTTTTTTTTAAATTACCAGCTAGTGCTTTTGTATTCACTTCAGACTGTTTACTCACAACAGCCAAGGTTTCACCAATATTCATCTTCGCCAGTTCATCCTGTCAAAAATTGATTAGTTTAAAATCTCACAATTTCCAAAATATCAAATATAATAAAAAAATTAGTTTGTCATATATTTGTGGTGACTATACCACTCTCAAGAAAAGCAATACCTAGCAGGAAACAACCAATTGGGGCACAGTCTAAGACAAAAATTTTTATTCTTCTGTTCTATTCATTCATTAGTCAAAATTTCTTCAAAATTACATTGTAAATCTATTATAAAGCAACCTTGTGAACATGTAAATATGAATGCACAAAAATAGAATAAAATTGGTGTTTATGACAGAGTCAAAAGAGGATTAACTCTCTCCCCCTTGTAAAATTTCTTAGTATGCCTCTTTATCTCGACTGCAACACTATATTATTTCAGTGTCTGTTTTTCTCTATATTTATTTCAACTCCAGCAAAAACTTATTATTTCTCTCCAATCAAACCAGCTGGACCTCTTATTTTCAAGCAAGGATCCAAGAGTTTACTTTCAGGTAGAGACCATGTCGTGTCAATCCTCAGGCCTGGGTGAGCGGCATTGGAAGATTCCTCTCAAAAGGAGACAAGTAAGACTTTAATCGGGGGCCGCGGTAGCCGAATGGTTAAGGCGTCAGACTCTCTGTTAGTAGATCCCGCGGTCGTGGGTTCGATCCCCATCGTCTCCTCTGGACTTTTTCTGACACCTAAGAGGACCGGTTGCCGCAATTGAAAGAAATTGACACGGCACTCATCAATGGAAGGGGCGGGATCAGATCTCAGCGACCCTGAATTTGGTCCTAACCCCCTTTAAAAATGAGTTTTTTTCGATGGAAGAACTGGGGGCTGAAATTCACATTTGTGTTGTGAGCCCCCAAAAAATGGAGCCTGGGGTAAAGTACAATAAGATGTACAGCCGCAGTGCTCAGGAGGGAACTCCTCCCTGGACTAATCTCTTGGTTCCTCCCTTTTACAAAATCACTATAAGGCCATAACAATTAGAAAAAGGACAAACAATCTAAGGAAGCCAACTCCAGCTAATTCCTTCGAAACCTTCCAGACATACCTTCACTGGCTCTCTGAAGACAAAACAGTTTTTTTAAAGACTAAAAACTGAAATCACAAATATCATTCAAAGAGAGAAAAGACTACAAGGCCTACGTAGTGCAAGCAAGCAAAATTTTCCCGCTGACTGCAAACTCGGGACAGCGGATCATTGGAGTGTGTGTCCGGTCAGCTCACCATTGGCACTAGACTCTTTTCAGAGCTTTCTCAGGGTCGAATCCACTCATCTCTTGGTAGCCACAGGATTCCTCTTCTAAAGTTTTGAAAGGGCCTTGAGTCGTATGAGTTCACGGTATCGGTGCCCAGTACAGGTGGACAAAGGAAATTTCCACATCGTTTACAGGACCCACTCCCTCTTAACGAACTCCTCAAGGAGCTCACTCACTTATGGAGTGTGCTCTCTCTCTAGCCTGGAAGGGGTTGTGCCATCGAGCTCATGATAAGGGGTATGACACATATAGCGCATTTTGACAGAAGTGTTTACCAAGAGGAAAACTTTTATTTGTTTCTTTTTTTAGAGTGGGACATGACAGACAATGCAGTGGGTACCGCCATTTTGAAACAGAGTTGGTATGTCTATGAGACCCCCTCCCAAGTTGGTTTTGAAAGCATATTTCCTGAAATGGTTGTTTAATACCCGTGGTGCCACACGTATCTGTTTTGCGTCCAATTACGTGTAATACTTGTGTTTTTGATTTAGTTTTTATCTTGCATTTTTTTGCATTTATTTTTTAATTTATTTTCTATATGAAATACTACTGCATTTCATGTAATATAGATACATTATTAACTTTTACATCATATTACATATCTTATTTATAAAATAGAATTTAAAATTAATTATATTTATTGTTTATTCATCGCAAGTCACAATTTGTAGCGAATTGTTTATTTGAGTGTATGGCCAGTCCGATCCATTCACCAGGAGGTGTCGTATCAGATTAGCTCTTTTTGCATCGAGCGTAGGGCAGTGGAACAAGAGATGATCCATGTCCTGAACCTCCTGAACCTGATCGCCGAAAACGGTGAAGTTGGCATTGAAATTTTTTGCAGATATTCCACGCTGGGCCCATGTCTCTGAGAGTCTCTGTCAGCCTTGCTATTATATTGTCAGTCAATCCAATCCTGTCTTATACCTTTTGAAATTTTCTACCTTTTTCCTTGATGATTCCACAATTCCAAACACAAATTATTGAAGTGCTCTTTTTTCCCCTACAATCGAGTGAACTCATATTCAACTATTTTTTGTTCTTTTTTATCCATTGATAATATAGCAGGACAAGTACTTTTTTTATAAATTGCACTAATAAACAAGCTATTAGCTAATAATAATAGTTTAATAGCTATTTCTTTTCTAAAAGTACCTCTTTCCTACATTAAAATACAGGAAGAAGAGCTGAGCTTACAAAATTGGAACGATATGTGGATAAAGGCAGATGAGGGCATTAAGGTGGCCATTCACGATCGCGCCCAGCAGTCCAAACGGAGCAACACCGTTCCAAAAACCACGTCAATGGCAAAACTGAACTGGAGTGCCGGGCTGCGCCGAATATTCGACTGGTTCAACTCCATCGCACCACTCCAAACATCTTCGGCATGGCGTGTTCGTGAATGGGAAAACACACTTTTTTTTCTTTTTTTTTGGCGCAGTCTCCGTCTTTCGGTCACTGAGCAAACATCTTTGTTGCATATTCTCAAAAATTCAAAAATGTTTATTCTTTACTGGCAATGACGTCCAATCGATTTTATTCTCGAGGTGATTGAATTGTATAAAAGTTTACCATGTAGTGGTGAACAATGATTACCACGGCAGAAATAAAAGAAATTCGGCCCTCGACCAGTTGGTCGACCTTTTCAAAACAAAGGATACAAATGCAACGAGTGATGCAGTAACCATGGTTGATAACCCCTAAGCGCTAAGCAGAAATTGTAGTAGAGAACTTAAGTTCTTCATAATTCATCCCTGTAGCAAGAAATGTGGCTGCCAACCTCCGTGGCCATTTCATTTGTCGCCGAGAATCCAATCCGACTACACGACATTTGAAAAATGGCAAAAAGGAGGGAACTCAAAAGGTGGGGTTGAGATAGGAAGTTAGTGTCCGAGTGGATCGAAGATCGTGGGTTCGAATCCTGCTCGTGCCATTGACTTTTTTATCTCAACTAAAAACCTTAATTAATTGTGTGATATTAACTGGTCAAGCGGACCACGAAATTAGTGAATTTAATACAAAAATATATTTTTTATATTCAATCAAAGTATTTCTACTCACTCAAAGCATTCGTTTTCTGTGTAGATGTGTCATTATTGTGTGTCGTGTCGAGAGTGCCAGTGCGATATTGCTGTTTTATGTTTATATACATTGGATTTTGAAGGGGTGGGGAAGGAAGTCGGTATATAAAAGACATTTTTGTATATGGCGTCGGCTTCTTTGAGGTGAAAAGAGCCAACGAAGGGAAAAAACGTTGGTAATGGTTCAGCCAGATTGATCACTCAAAGTGTTTGTGAGTGTAAATACTTTGATTGATTATATATTTTTTTAAAATTTGCATTGTATAAATTCATTTTGTTCCACATCCTACATGTATTTGTTAAATTTAAACATTGTTTGTCAATTCCAGGCCCTGAAGATGATCTCAATAAAGATCGAAACGTTGGCACGATAAAGAAAATGTTTTTCTGAAACCTACATCACACCAGACCACATCTCATGATCTCCGAATAGTCATTGACTAGTACGCACTGAGATTCTTTGAAACAATTCATGTTGCGGGACAGAGTCGGGGCTGTGTAGATTCATTGTTGCAATGCAGCCCCGACTCTGCTCCATGACAAAGAACCGTGACCAGACCAAGATTCAGTTCACATTCATCAGTGCCTGCGAAAATGATGGGGGAACTAGCTCTTAGAAATTTCCCTTGTGCTTTTTGGCATTGTATGTAGTGCTTCCAATCGGAAGTGCATTAAAAACTATCCTTTTAAAGTGTGCATTTTTTCAATTTCGGCGACGGAAACACTGAATTTTTGGTTTAAACTGTTCCATGTTTGGCTTTTCAATTCCCGATTTCTGTATTCCGTAAATGAAATATCCCACAAACACCGATGGAATGCGTCTTCAATAAACTGTAAAGTCAACTCAGTACTCCACAACATACCTTTATACAAGACAGTATCAAAATCTTCAAGAGAACATTCACTAGAACATCAACTAAACAAATGAAGCAAGAGCGCTTGTTCCGATTCATGTCCACACTGGCAAATGTTGTGCAACATTGAGTCAAAGAATCCCACATCGAATGGGATTCAAAAGAGTCCAAAAATGCTAGCCGGCAGCACACCAGATTCATTGCAACAATGAGTCGGGGCAGCCCGGACTCAGGCTAGACACAGCCGAGACTCTCCAGAGATTCAAAGAGTCAACTCAAAGAATCCCAGTGCGTACTAGGCCTAACGGTCACAAAACACCACACACAGTGCATTATAATAATTGGCAATATAGGAAGAAAACGACAGAAACGAGACTGGTCAACTACTTTGAAGTAACCTGATACTGCTAGTGAAACGGCAGCATGTGTCAACTACGAAAAAATCTGCTCTGTTAAACACTTCGGTCAAAACTGCTATGTGTGTAATAGCCCTAACAGGCTCCTGGTAGGGTGAAAAAATTGGGACTTTCTTGCAAAAGCAAGTGCCCTTTTTAGGGCCAACACTGCAATCAAATGTGAGAAGCAGCCCAACAGTATTAAACATTAATAACTACCAACCTCTTCTGGTTGTGTGATATCACTCTCATTGCAGCTTTCAACCTCGGCTTCTTCCTCATTGACCACTTCTGGTTTTTCACCCACGGACCCGATCGCTTTGTTCTTTCTAGCTTGTATATGTTTCAATCTGAAAATATTTAATAGATAATATTTCAACATCCGACATTGTAGGTTTTTAATGTTATTTAAGACTCACTTCCTCAGGTTAGCTTCAATAGGCCATCTTTCTCTCTTGAGTTGAGCTACCGTATCAATCGCAGAATCGATCTGCCTTATCACAGCTTTGTTTTGAAGTAGTTCATGGCACAGGAATGCTAAAATCGCCGCCTTCTTTGTGGGGTTGAGCGAAAGGAAAGGCCGCTTTTTCAGCCATTCAGACATCTTGAATGTCGTGTTCTCTTTAAGGAGGGCAAAAAAGGCGGAGTTTTTGCCAGAGGTCTCTTCCACCAGCTCGTTCATGTTGTTATGGTGTTCTGTTACTCTCTTTTCTCTTTCCCTTTCAAAATGTACACCTAAACATCAAAATACAAGAATTATCCATAAAAATAACGATCTAATAATCTCCTGTAAATTATATAAATTTCACACCATTTCAAATATTTTACTTTACTGAAGTATCAAACAATATTTTCAAGTTTATAACGAACTATTTACAATAAAACCAACATTAAAGTGGCACAATACACACTGGCATATTATAAAAATTTACCTGTCGTTGCTTTGAGTTCGCCTGTAGCATTAGCATATAAATATATCCTTAGAATTTCACTTAAATTACTATGAGAAATGTCGGCCTGCTTCAGACTGTGACAGAGTATTGTCGTGTGCCTGGCAGGATGAGGTATTCCTGGATCCTCGATTCCACATATCACAAGCTGGGTTATCACAGACAATAACTCCTCCTCGGCGTCTTCATTGGCTCCCAATAAGGCGTCTTGGAGAGAGTTGAGAGTTGGGAGAGACTCCATATCTTTAAAGACAAAAATATTGTAATATATCTGGTAAAATATGTTCGAGAAGGAAACTTACCAAAGCCTAAAGTCTCCCCGAAATTTCTAAGGAACTCGTAGACTAAAAGCGTATCCGCGAATGCTTGACCGCTAAGCTTCAGACCCGGTATCCTTGACATCTTGGGCAAAGGTTTGGAATCTAAAAGGGAAAAATGAATTTTTATAAAGCTCCAAGAGAGTTATTTTAAATATAAAACCTTACCAGTCAGTTCCATGTCTTCAACCGGTTTTCTTAATTCACGCAGCAGCTCGACTTCAATTTTCCTCTGTTCTATCCTCTTCTCCCGTGTTGCGAGCTTTTCGGCTCGCTGTTCCAGACGTTTTTTCTCTCTTTCTTCCATCCTTTTCCTGATCTCTAAAGCTTTTACCAAACCCATATGCTGCCTTCTTCTTTCCCTCTCCTGAAAAAACACATATGAACTTTTAGTTTAAAGAAAATTAAAATCTTTTCATTGAGATAAAAAATAAACACTACTGATCATGCTTCAAAATGAGAATCTATTCAGTTAAAAATAAAACAAAAAATAAATATAAAAATATCATTTTCAGCCTATAATATTTAAAATATAGATATTTTCTCAATTGTTTTTAATTAATTAAATTAATTAATAAATACAGCACAAATAAATAGTGTTAATTTTATAAATAACCCTAAAACTTGAACAACAAATAACCGACAGGATAAGTTCAAAATTTTATCCATTATACTCATTGAACGCAAAATAAACCACACTTATTTGTTGTTACGGCTAATAAATGAACAACAATTATAAGTCAAATAAATAATGGCCATTTTCACATCATAAGATATGTGTTTTTAGTACAATTTCATTTCTTGAATTACTATCCTCGTGAATCACAAAAAGGCGTCATTGTGAAATAGAAACGTTATTCAAAAGTATACTAAGCAGTTTTAACTGAATTTAATCAAAGATAGTCCAATGAGGGTTTGGAAAAGTGACATGTCACTTGAAACCAAAATATCTCTGGAAAAAAAAATTACCCTTCAAAATAAATCTAAATTGGTTAAGACTGAAGACAAATTTTCTTTTGTATTTAGAATATTCAAAACATTATTTCTTTAAAAAGAAAAGACATGGAAGGGTCAAAACTTAAGCAGGTTTAACTTGTTTTACATGCCGTCTACATGCTATGTAGGATTTGACTATACAATATTCGTATTAAGTTAGTTACAAAATAAAAAATAAACTCAAAATGTCATGCAATTTTGCAAGACATGCACCTTCAGCAGAGTGTTTTGTTGAAAAACAAAACAAAAAGAAAAAAAACTGGCACAGAAAATAAACAAGGAAGGGGAGAGAAGCGGGTGAAAAAAAGCGAGAATCAACGACGTACCAACTCTACTGTGTACAGTATCTCCCTCTGCTTGCTGAGTTCTTGCATATACATCTAGAAACACACATGTCCTTGAACAAAGGATCACTTTACCAGTACAACTCGCCTTCAACTGGGCGAGTATGAAAAGTACAAGGTTTGCTGTTAAAGCTTGGTGGAAAGGTACATCACAACAGATATGGCAACAAAATTTACAAGTTAAAAATAAGAAAGTGTAATTATAAAATGTCTTCATCTTAAGCCTATCTCTTTATCACAATACATTTTTAAGCTGACGCTTTACAAAGACTTTCATAAGGTCCATCGAAGCACAGACATTTAAACAATTTTTTAGGGTAATACAGACAGTTAAAAAGGTTTTGTGTGACTAGGAAGAAAGTGATTCATAATTGATTTTTCAATGCAAGAGTAAAATAATAACAACCTGGTTTTTCACAGTTGCACTATACAATTTGTCGTTTCACGATTTCTAATTGTTATTACATATCTTTTAATATTTGAATGTTTAAAGTTGGATTTGTACTTATTTGAAATGTTCTATGCCCTAAGTGTTTTATTTTTGCTAAAAAGGTTCAAGACTAGGAGCCAAACTTCCACAAAATCTGAACTTTTTTACCCCTGACACTAACTCTACCTAATCTAGCCTAACCTAGCCAAACAAGGCCAGACCTGACCTAGCTTAACTTAACCATAAATTACACTTGTGAAATTACTGTCTGATAGTCCTCTTCCTAATTGCTCATATTCTAAATTTTATTTATCTTGTTTTGTACCAAATTCTACCTAACCTAGCCTAACCTAACCAAACCAGGCCAGACCTGACCTAGCTTATCTTAACCATAAATTACACTTGTGAAATTACTGTCTAATAGTCCTCTTCCTAATAGTTCATATTCAAAATTTTATTCATCTTGTTTTGTACCAAATTCTACCTAACCTAGCCTAACCTAACCAAACCAGGCCAAACCTGACATAACATAGCTTAACTTTACCATAAATTACACTTGTGAAATTATTGTCTGATAATCCTTTTCCTTGTTGTTCACATTCAAAATTTTATTTATCTTGTTCAAGCGGCAGAATATTTACAATCACATTAAAACTGAATGTAAAAGTTTAATGTTTACATTTTTCTCAAATAGCTTTTTTTTTAACAATGTCCAAAGTGATTGTTGCCGACTAATCATAACACGTAGTACATGTTTTCTAAAGAAAGTGTACAAATTGAATTAAAACTGATATAATAATGGAAAAAGATTGATCTACTTGCTAAGAAAGACCAACTAGTTTCTATTTATTATTGCCAAAAATTACATAAAAATCAGTTCATAAATATCACTTCACCAACTTTAGTGTAATTTACCAGAAAGGTTGAAAACCTGGGGTTTTGGCAGTCATGGTCAGACTTCGGCCGTCATTGTCCAAGGCTCAAGGAGTTATCAATAAACGCAATGAGTTCCTAAATCAAACCCATTCACAATCTCATTCATTCTTAAATACATTCTTTCCTATTTACACATCACTCACTCAATTAGAACGGTGGAATCTTGATATTCCACCACCACCCTTTTACACCCATTACATAAATAAATTAATTGAGGGTCGATGGGGTACTCAATATTCTGCCATTGGCCATATACTCATGCTAATAAATACACTCTTTTTTGCCATCTTCAGTCATGGAGCTTGTGTAAGGATTAAAATAAGGAAGCAGGTAGATTATCTTGTATCATCCTACTTTTATCCCTGACCAGACTCTTATTTAGGATCCACCTTTTAATTTGTCAGTATTGTAAAGGGTTCATGGTAGTTTTTTGTTAGGGGGAGTTGAATAACTATTCACCGGTGGGCTTCTGTAACAACCATAAGAATAGTGCCTCGGTCTAGCTTCAACCTTTTTCACTAAATTAGGGGGTGGAGTACTTGATATTCCATCACCCTTTACACCTATTATATAACTAATATAACGGTGGGTAAAAGGGGTACTCAATATTTCACCAATGGCTTGCTTACATTACACATTCGCGCTAATAAATACATTTATTCTCTTCATATGCTAGCCACACAAAACTATCAGTACTACATACAATAAAACAACCCAGTTTTCTCCAAAAAATAGGAACAGGGACCCAGATACTCGCTGCCAAGCTCAAGCACAATTCTCATAGCAGGGTGGCTTTCCTGCACGCTCTCTATACAGGGTGTCCCAATTCCTTCTGACGAAACTTAGGGAATCGATTCTACTCTTCGTTTGGAGCAAAAAATGCTCAGGGGAAATTTTTAGGAAAGTTCTCTATTTTGAAGATATTCGTCAATTTAGGTTTTTTCAACTTTTCACTACCTTACCACATAAAAACGCTTACAACTTCCAAAATGTTGAGACTACAATAAATCCAATTACACCATTTGAAAGAACGTTAAATTTTCTGTAAGATACTTCTATTTTCAATAATCTGAATGACATAAAATGTTAGCCAATATCAGTTGGAGCATGTCAAAATTACAACATTTAAAATTTTGGTCATGATTGCACGTTCGTACAAAAAAATACCTACAATTTGTCAAATTTCACAAAAACTGCTTCACATCTAATATGCTTTATGTTGATTTTTCAACTCTACTAGAACATTATTTAAAAATTAAATTCACTAATTTCGTGGTCTGCTTGACCAATTAATATATTACAGTTAATTAAGGTTTTTAGTTGAGATAAAAAAGTCAATGGCACGAGCGGGATTCGAACCCACAATCTTCAGCTAAATACGCCGCTGCTCTACCACTTGAGCAATCGTGACCTCGTTCCACTCGGACACTAACTTTCCATCTCAACCCCACCTTTCCAATTTTCCAATGAAGTATACGTCATTAAAGCTCACCGTGGCCATTTCATTTGTCGTCGAGAATCCAATCCGATTACACGACGTTTGAAAAATGGCAAAAGGAGGGAAAATTCAGTAAAAAAAAGTATACTTCATTTTAAATCATTAAATTCACATTAAATTGGAAAATTCAAAAGGTGGGGTTGAGATGGGAAGTTAGTGTCCGAGTGGATCTAGGTCATGATAGCTCAAGTGGTAGAGCAGCGGTGTATCTAGCTGAAGATCGTGTGTTAAAATCCCGCTCGTGCCATTGACTTTTTTATCTCAACTAAAAACCTTAATTAATTGTAGTTATTTAAAAACCTGGATATATCAACGTAAAGCATATTAGATGAAGTTATTGTGAAATTTGACAAGTTTTAGGTATTTTTTGTAACCTCAGTAGAACGTGCAATCATGACCAAAATTTTAAATTTTGTAATTTTGACATGTTCCAACTGATATTGGCTAACATTTTATGTCATTCAGATTATTGCAAACAGAAGTATCTTACAGCAAATTTAGCATTCTTTCAAATGGTGTAATTGGATTTGTTGTAGTCTCAACATTTTGGAAGTTGTAAGCGTTTTTATGTGGTAAGGTAGAGAAAAGTTGAAAAAACTTAAATTGACTAATATCTTCAAAATAGAGAACTTTCCGAAAAGTTTCTCCTGAGCATTTTTTGCTCCAAACGAAGAGTAGAATCAATTCCCTGAGTTTCGTCAGAAGGAACTGGGACACCCTGTATAGAGTCAAAGAATCACACTTTTTACTAGGTAGGACACATCAACATTTCTCTGTTTGCAGTCACACACGTAGACTAGAGCTCAAAAGTAAGTGTCCACATGTCAACCTTGCACGGCCTATCATTAAATGGGTGAGGATTACTCTTCTTTTTCGACTTAGAACCACCTATCATCGGTGAGACACGAGATGATAAGATAGGTGATTTTTGTAACATAATATTTTTCATGGGGGACTGTAGTGGCCAAGTGGTTAGGATATTCGATTCGTATTTGCTATGTTAGTGGTTCTGAATTTGAAACTTGGCACAGCCCATCAAATTTTAAATTTTAGTAATATGTAAAAACTTTTCTAAAATGGTTTGACCTATTCTCTTGGGCACCCACCAGGTAGTTGGACATTAAGCCCTCCTGTATGACAGGAATTCTTTACTTTACTTACTTTTACTTTACTTTTAAGATGCTATTTACTGGTTTAAAATTTAAAACATTGACTACTATTTATTTCACAGTTAGAACTTAATTTTTTAGTCAGAAAAATTTATTTTATCAGTAGTTCTGCTTAGGTGAGTGGTTGAAAGTTCAATTTAATTTTTAACGTTTTAAATCCTATTAAGTTTATGAATTTATAGTTTTTTGTTATGCTTTGTTCTTTATTGTATAGATATATCTAAAAAGCCCACAAAGTTCAATTAGCAACTTATACTTCAATTAGCACACAACATACCCAAAAATACTTTTGGCATATCTTTAAATGTGCTGTTCTGGAGGAGGGTTAGTCTGAAAAGAAGAGATTAGAAGAGAGAAAAAGAGGAAAAAAACACCATTGGAATGCTCCAAACCAAAGTGCGGGCATGCATTTTGTCATGATCCTAGCCCCACTCGTCCGCTATTGCCTATTTGCAAAGACGGAAGTGAACAATGCTCCAGTCCACAACCGACTACAACACACACTAAGCTATATCTGACGATTCGGTTAAATGGGACTTAACTTTAAATTATATCAATCGGGGGGTTGTGACATACCTGTTCTTTTATAATTGCAGCCTGTTGCCTCTTCAGTTCCCTTTCCTGGAACAAAATATAACATTAGAGTTTTAAAGGACTAATGCAAATTTAAATTTTAAAATGTTTTATTTTGGCAGAGCTGAGCTTTAAATTAAACACTACTGTAACAATCATTTTGTTAATGGAAAAACATTAAAAATAGCGCTGAAATTTTATTTTTAAAATATTGTAAAATAAACTAGTCTCAACAGCAATACAAAAGATAAAAATGGTATTTCAAGAAAAATGAAAAAAATTATAATTACTCTATTAATGCCATGCTTCATTAAAATTCAATACCTACCTAATCTTTAATTTGCTCCCATCATAATCATTAAAGACAAGTCTTTCATCAATAAGATCACCATGCTGATTTATAATTAAACAATATTACCTACTTTTAAAAGATGTAATTTTTAAGTTTGCGCTGATAAAAAGCTTAAAATGCATTTTTATTTAAAATTAAAAAAATATTAGACTTTTTAATGGAGGTTCGCAAGAGCAGAGCTCATATCAACCCCAGGATTGGTGTTTTAGAAAAAAAAAAATCCCATTTGTAAGTATGCAGGGTTGGAATGCAGGGCTGCTGGATTCGAACCCGGGACTTTTACCTTACAGTGATGAGTGCCATATCAACGCCTAAACTGTTATGGCCACATGGTTAGACCACCAAAAGAACGTTTTGTACTTATATTTATATATAGAGAGAGAAAATGAATAAAACTTAAGAGAACCAAAAACCTTGAATTTGATTACTATTTGTTCTACCTATTCTCAAAATTGTTAGCTAAATGACTGTCAGGGAAAAAACTCAAAACCAAAATTTCTTTTAAACAATATCTAATTCGAATTAAAAATTGTGACAAAACAAGATTTTTTAAAATTTGGTCTTTTTTTATGTTGAACTTTTTTTTAATGAAGATATTCCAGCTATGATGTTATCTGAACCCTTGGGGTGCGTTTTTTGAAGAAAAAAAAATTTGTTAAGTATGTCGGGTTCGAATGCAGGGCTGTTGGATTTGAACCTGAGACCATTACCGTACAGTGATGAGCGCCGTGTCAAGCCTAAACCGCTCCATCCACCAACGGCCCTGGTACATCCTTTAAACGCACATTTGGCCAATTTACTTCTGTGCATAGTTTTCTGTTTTTCGAGTCAAAATAATTCTAAAATGTATAATAATAATGCAATCTAAAACTCAGCTCAGATCCATCGAATAATGAATTGGTTAATAATTAAATTTCAACTAAAAAGCAGAAAAACCATGTTTTTGTTTTTGTTTTTTTATTTGGCGGTGGTCAAACTTACTTGTTGCTTGCGCTGTTGCCCCTCTAACCTTTGTCTTTCCAGCTCCTCTTGTTTTTTCTTGCGAGCCTTTACATGCAGACACAAAAACAATAAACATATAACTAATAATAAATAAAGAGATACATAAATAAATGTACTTCTAACAAAGTGGAACGGAACTGTTTAGTTTGACAAGCAGCCATTAATCATAAACAAAATTGTTAACAACTAAAAACAATTCTTTTTAAAGCTGCTTTCACTACAAATTATAAGTTAGTAAAGCCGGTTTTATTTGTTTTTGTTTTAATCTAATAAATAAGTCAATATTTGAAAGTATTAAATCGACAAATTGTTTTATTTTTTTATTGTTTAATTGAAAATCAATTATAAAGCTTTTTATTACCCCTTTTTGAAGAAAATAAAAATTTGATATATAATTATAATTTTAAAAACTAGATCTCATGCAACTATTAAGCGTAAATTGTTAAAGTGTGCATTCCATGCGTGTGAAGACAGCAAATTCACAAAACACCAATTCTACGGCCAACTGCAAAATACCTATCATTCAACCTGAATCAATGTTAAGTTTGGCAGGGTCAAAAGTAGGCACAGCTGAGAACAACTTGAACTGAAATAAGATGTTCCCTCACAGCAGATGATGCAGGAGTTACTTTTTCTAGAAAGACTGATACCGCTGCGATTATTTAACAGTTCTGCAAATGCTGTTCATGCAGACTACTGGGCAATCTATAGGGTCCTGCTTGAGGTATGCAAATGTTTCCAACGTATTTTTTTTTTTTATTTTAGTGTTAACTATTTGTCATTATTTGATTTCTTCAAATAAAATTTAAACTGGGTGAAAATGATGGATATATTTGCAAACCGAGCAGATTAAACTAAGGTTGTCGAGGGAGTTCGTACCGGGCTGGCTCCAGGGGTTGGCATCACATTGCCTCTTTGTTTCCAAATCGTAGCCACCGTCGAGTTGGCCAGACCCAACTCTCTGCTAACGTCGGATTTGCTTTTCCCCGACTCAATCTCCCTAATAATTCTCCATTTTTCTTCACTTGTGAAAGCTAGTCTCTTTCGACCCTACACAAAAGATATAGTTTAACTATCTCAGCCTCTGCCTTCAATGATTCTCCGCCGTCTTTCTAGTTTTATCCCTTAATCTTATTCAAGAGTTTTCCCTTATTTGTTTTATTTTATTTACTTTTTTTTTTTTTTTTTTTAATTGAAAAGCCGAACCCGTCACAGGCAAATGGGGAGGAAACAAAAAAAAACAAAGAAATATTGTGCAGATGAGATGGTTAAGGTGCAACAAAAAAAACATAAAGTGTAGTGATTTCCAATATTTTAGCCACACCATCAAGCAATGTACAAACAATTTTAATATTATTTACTATTTTTAGAATTTTCGCTTTTGAAAAAGTTAATGGTGTATTGAAAACAAAATCAAGTGCATTGCGAGTTTTGCTGGACTTTAGAAAAGTTTATACATCAAATACCTGCACTAGTTACAAAATTATACTCAACAGTTATGAAAATTAAGGAAAATTTCATTACATAAAAATAATAACATACAAGCAAATAAATTGGCCTTAAGTTTTATCTTACAAACAAATTTAATTGATAAAAGATACAAATAATGGTATAATTAGATTAGTTGCTCTCAACACTGGAGACAAAATGTTAACTAAAATCAGGTTTTATAAAATAGGAGACTTGCAGATCAAAAACAGAAATTACTGAAAAAATATATCTTATTTGACGCAAGGTGTAACAAAAGTCTTTCAATATTAATAAAATAATTATAAAAAATTGAGTTTATGTAAATTTATTGGAATGAATTTAATTTATTTATAAAAGAGGTCGTTTAACTCTGCCCCTGGGGAATAACGAGTACTCTGGGGGAGTGTGTGACGTCTGGAGAGAAAAGTAATTCATTAGCAAAGATGAAGTTCGACCACACCCCTTGGAATATCGAGTACTCTGGGGGAGGGTGATCAGACTTCTTGTATGTATCAGGTGCTGTGTTTTATGTTAAATTGTTAGAATGAATGTAATTTATTAGTTATTGATTATTGCTTTATTTTGAATTGAAGTAATTTATTAGCGTGAAAGGAAGGGTTGTTTAACCCCACCCTGAGAAATATCGAGCACTCTGGGATGAATGTGTTCTGTCTGGAGAGAATTTATTAGAGAGTAATTTATTAGGAAAAATGTAGTGGTTCGACCCCTAATATCGACTACTCTGGAGGAGTGGCGATCAGACTAGACTTCTATGTATGTATCGGGTGCTGTATTTTGAGTTGATGTAATTTATTAGCGTGAAAGGTTTAACCTCACCCTGAGAAATATTGAGTACTTCTGGGATGAGTGTGTGCCGTCTGGAGAGAAAATTAATTTATTAGGAAAAATGTAGTGGTTCGACCACACCCCTAGGAATATCGACTACTCTGGAGGAGTGGTGATCAGACTTCTATGTATGTATCGGGTGCTGTATTTTGAATTGATGTAATTTATTAGCGTGAAAGGAAGGGGTTGTTTAACCCCACCCAGAGGAATATCGAGTACTCTGGGATGAACGTGTGACTTCTGGGAAAATAAGTTATTAGTGAAAATAAACTGGTTCGACCACACCCCGATGATTCTCGACTACTGTGGGGAGTGAATGTGACTCATTGTGTGAATGTGAGTACCACGTAGTACCACCAAGTAAGAATATTCACTGTGTTAACCAGTAGGCTGCATACTGCATACCGAGATCATTAAACCACTTTTAAATCAGTAAAAATACAAAATTTGGTTTTATTAAAAATTATTTGCTTGTAAAAGTACGTAGTGGTTTTCAATAAGACACTTTAGAAGAAAGCAGTGTCCATGAGTGGTTTGTTTGGTTTAGAAACGGAAATTTTCATTTGGAACATCCTTCAACCATTGACGAAATTCAAACTTTTGTCACAAATATCCACACTCAGAGGCACAAGACACTCTTCCCTACTAAAACGCAAAGAAAATAAACTAATTTTAAAAAGATTGATGGAATGAAAAGTTTACAAAAATTCAGAGATGAAAATATTAGAGAAATGCAGGGCAAGAAAGTAATGGTGGGATTTGAAGGACGAGCTTCACCCCTCCAACCAAACCGTCAATTCGACAGCGGTACATGTCAGCTATTGACCAAAAAATTGGACATTGCCCCTTCACTTTGTCATTTATTTCAGTCTCTGCAAAACTTAATAATAGTAAAACTTTACTTGAAGACTGCAGAAAAATCCGAAAATCCGCATGTCGAGTCCATCACTCAAAAACTCCAGTTGTTTTGGGAGGATGAAATAACAAAATTATATTAAAAATGGCAATAGGTAGTGGAACAAATTGATTCATATATTGTTGATTAAATGTGTTTACAAGTACTTGAAATTTTTGTTGACTTTAGCATCAAAAAGTACTTCGGATTTATTGTACAACCCAATATAAATTTGTTAGCAAGCCAGCATGAAGAATTGATATTGATTTTGTTGCTTGTACCAAGGAATCGCTTGCAAATTGTACATCAATAAATAATCTTTGTGTAAATAAAAGCGGTAGTTACGTAAATGTACAAAAGAAAAATATGAACTTTTGTTACACCCTTCTTAAATGGCGATCAAACAAAATTAATTCTGATGAGGAAAATTACAATACAAATTATAATAAATTGCACACAAAAATTGTTTAAAAACAAGAATGCTATGTTTTGAATTTTAAATCTGTGATTTTTACTCTAGGAAAACAAGTAATAATTTAAAAGTTACTCCTTTATTTTAAGGGGAGAAAATTACTTCAGTACTAATAAAACCATTATTAATAACAGATGAAGAAATGAGCGAGTTTGTTCAAAAATTTAATTGTACTTATATTTACAAGTCTCCTATCTGACTAGAGAATACGAATAAACAAAGTTGAAAACTTTGTACAGTCCATCACCAATTTAGCACACAAAATGTATATGAAACTAACAAAAACATATGAGACAGGAATGTGTGTTCATTCAGGCTTTTTGCACAAATAACGGTTCTACAAATATATATTAAGAAAAAATATAATTTTATTATTAAACATACAGGGTCGAGAGAGAAAAAAATAAAAATAAAACATGCATTGAATCTGAAAAGTTTTTCTTGTTTACCTCAAGCAACTGCTGGCTCCTTTGCTCTCTTTCTTTCCTCGCCTGCTCCTGTCTTTCTGATCGTTCTTGTTCTTTCAGCAGTCTTGAAAAACAATAAAATTAAAAAGTTTGAATAAATCGATATAAATTTTAAAATATTAAACCAACCGTAAATGCTCTTTTTGTTTGGCAGCTTCTTCTCGTGCGAGGCGTTTTGCTTCTTTGGCGGCGAATGCCATTCGGTCTCGCTCTTGTTTATTCTGGTCCAGAGCGGCCCTGGTGTACAAATAAAGGCTTTTGAATACTTTACAGACATGAAAACAGTTTAAAACATACCTGTGCTGCGCTACTAGTTCTTGAAGCTTGAGCGCAAGGGTCTCTTCATTCAGACGCACCGGCTCCTTGCTTCCTTGGCCAGATTCGATGTAATCACCGAGCAGGATTCGGCAACTGAATGAAAAGTGTTCCCTCGTAAGTTCTGATCCCTGCTTCTCTAGAAACTATGAGAAAATATATTAATAAAGTATTCTGTCTTTAATATTTGAATCATGACTTACTCGGACTAGGTCACTGAAATGGCGGAATGTTCTTCCGCAGGGCGAAGTGTAGACGACTTCCCCTTTTACACCCGCTCGCCCCACGCTTGTTATGTATGTCTCCCTTTTCCAGCCCTTCTCCAGGGCTTCACGCAGTTTCATTTCATCTATCACAACCTTCCGCCGCTTTCCACCAGGTCCTCCATCTTTAAACATTAATTCAATATAAGACAACTAAGAATTTTATTCAAATAAAATTATTTTTTAGTCCTAGGTAAAATGGAAGGTAGATAGGACAGGTTTCAAGTAAAATCTTTAGAATTAGTGTACCATTGGACATATTATCCCTATCTCTTTTTCTTTCACCTTCGCTCTCAGAGCTAGTTTCTGAAAGATCAGAGTGGCTGTCTTCTGACATTCCATCAGTGCTCATTTGCTTGTGGTCTTCGAAGCCCCTGCTGAAGTTCTGCAAACCGTACAATAACTTTAATTCAAATAAATTTGCCCAAAATAATTGCCTACTCACCAAAAGCGGGTGGTCTTTGCCAAGAAGATGGTCCTGGAGTGAATTGGGAGACCCGGAGACATTGCTTTCATCCTTGTCTTTATCTGAAAATGTCAATGCTGTACTCTTCGGTTTTGCCACTTTTTCATTGAAAATTTCACCATAATTTGAGGCGGATTTGGCCAAAGCGGCGAGCTGGCTGATTTCCAACCCAGGTTTGAGGCCGAGCGCCCTGCTCTGAGCAAGGAGAGAGGCGACTGTGTTTTTCTTTGGTTTTGAAACGCCTCTTCCTAGGTTTCTTGGCCGCCCATCCTACAAACCAACATTGTACAAATAAAAACCTCCAAAATTTACCTTTTAAATGGCTAATGTTAAAAATAAAAAGACTTTAGAAATTTGTAAAATATTAAGGTTTTCTTATGATATATGCCATTCAAGTTCGCCTACCATATTATTATCATGGTTTTCTTTATTCTTTATTCTTTATATTAGGCCAATTCAAAATAAAATATTTTTAAAGGTGTAATAATCAACAAACTAATGAAAATTTGTTCTGCTTACCTTGTGAGGAACAGAGGCATCGTTTTCCTCACTGCCGCTGGAAGGATGTGAAGACTCAGACGCCGTGAAAGGCGGGACTCGCCTAGGTTTGGGCCCAGGCTTTCTCCGATCGACTAGAGAGCAAAACAATCAGTATCGTTTCGCCATCGGTAGCACGTTTCCAACTTACCTCTGTCAGACTGGCCCAGGTTCTGCGAAAGGGCTGATAACGACTGGAGGGCAGAATTGTTGTTGTTGTGGTTAGTCGGTGTGTCTGGCTTCAATGACAAGTTTAGAGGACCGTCGTCCGTCTGGGACAAGGGCGACGATCTCCCATTTGTCTGGCCCAATTTAATCAGTTCAGCTCGCTCAGACATCTCCATTCCCTGTAAACAATTACCCTATCATTGTTTAAAAGTCTTTAAATTTTTATTTTTTTATTTTAATACAGTTACAAATAATTAGTTGTTAATTAACTCAAATTTGCCTGTAAAATTAATAAAATTTTGATTCTTAAAATGTATTTAATGAATTTAATGAAGAAGTGTTTGTGAAGTTTTCAAAAATAAAATATAGTTTAAAATAAACGTAATTTTTGACATTCAATGTAATTCATAATTAATTTTGTATAATTTTACTTACATATCTGTAAAAAGAGTCTTCCAATGAAGCAGACTCCTTGCTTTTACCACTCAGATCCAAGCCGACAAATGGTTTTGACTAAAAATAAAACAAAAATATATCAGACATAATTTTTCGCTTGGATTTGTTTCTTTAAACATACATTTTTGGATTTTTGTGAGTGGTGGCCCATGTTGGGCACGTCTAATGATATCGTCTTCTTCCTGCCTCGGTTCGTCGTCCCAGGAACCTTGGGCCCGATCATGGACGATGTGTATTTAATTATTTCCGTGTCAGGGGGCAGTCTCACGCCCAAAAGGCCATCACTGGAACAAAACAACCCTTGTCAAAAAATCCTCCCGTAAGAAAAAAATCAATTCATCTAATGAAATGTTTGTCTTTACCCTGATGCCGTTGTAGGCGGAAGTGAGCCAGTCGGTACCGAAGGCGGCGTTGAAGAAGAGGATGATGACTTTGAGTGGTTAGTCTTGCTCCCACTCACTGAAAATTAAAACAACAATGAAACATTTCTGATATAAACATATCAAAAAGTAAATATTGTTAAAGTACTATTGGAGATGTTACAATAACATTTTTGAAGTGAATGATGAAGTGGAATGGAATAATTAAATGGAAAGAATAAACTAGGCTGGAATGGCATTAGGTATAGCCCTAGGTCCTTCTAACCAAACACGTCCAAGATAATTTGGCAACCCTGGCCATATCGACTACACCACCATATCTATACTGGAACTGTGTCATCGGGCTCTAGGGCTGGGAGAAGCTATTGCATGTCACAAGTGTGATTGGTAGGTGGTCCCTGGAAAATCTAAACCATAGAACAAGAATGATCCTAATCCAACTGAGAATTGATCATACACAGTTGACACACTTACTTTTGAGCATCCAGTTTTCAAATGGGTCTAAGATCAGAGAAGGGTTTGTGCACAGCAATGGAGTACCCACAAAATTGCAGTGAGTACACCGCTGAGCTGCACGTGATCTAACATGCCCTTGGACTAGCGCATGCAGGGAGAATTCATTCCCTGAGTGTATTGTGGACCCTAAGAGACAGATCTCGGTGGATCCTCTCATCGTTTCAAAAGATATACTGAGTTGAAGTGTCTCGCGAAATTGGTAGTACTTGTCTGGGTATCTGGATGTGTCAGGCTGGAAGGCAAGAAACAAGCAGTCAATGGGACAAAAGCCAGGACGGCTCTCACTCCAGACCTACTATCGTGAACCGACCCGCTGACCTAAACGAGAAAAGAAGTAAAGAAAAGGTGGTAGTATCAGTGGTCTGGGTCCTCTGAAGCAGACTCATAACTGGCCATACACAGTTGACTCTCGGACACTTACTTTTGCCCTGCATTTAGAAAAAGGCTGCCCAATGAGTCCCATATAATTAAAATGCCATTACTTGGCTCAGTACAGGGAGCGAGTAAGATTGCCACCCAATATAAGAATTGTGTACAAGCATGGCAGTTAATATTTGTGATATGGGATTACGGTACGGGGAGGAACTAATAAGAATATATTACACCCCCTAAAAGTTATTCAAAATTAGTAAAATTAATATTAAATAAATTAATTTAAAACAGTTATTTTTAAAATGTTCATATCTTCATATGTTTCAATATAAATTATTTCATAAATCTTTGAACTTTATCACAAAGATTGAACTATTACCATGATTTGCGCAAAATACAACTAAATACCATAATTTTTCTTATAACAGGGTACTTAGCATATTTATGAAAATAGAATTAATATAAGTACTTTCAGAAACTTCAGTTAGTCACAACAAATGTATACATTCATACATTTTTGACTCAAGAAATTCAAGAAGTTTCTCAACTTTTTTCTTTTAAATTAATAATATTTTATACTTGTTTTATTATTATACAAGGACATTACTAATTATATTGATAAATTTTAGTATTTATAAATTATTGACAAATTGAACATCTACAGTTTGTAAATTCCTGTCATACGTCCAACTACCCTCTCGGCGTCGCGGACGAGGGTGCAACCTACTTTACAATTTCAATTAATTATACTTTTTTCTAAGGTCTTGGTTGAAATGAAAAAGTTAGTATCACGAGTGGGATTTGAACCTACGACATTCAGCTCAATACTCTGCTGCTCTAACTTGAGACGTAGCCAATGACACTAACTTTTTATCTAAAGTCTTAATTGAAATGAAAAAGTTAGTATCATGAGTGGGATTTGAGCCTACGACCTTCGGCTCAATATGCCGCTGCTCTAACTTGAGACGTAGCCAATGACTAACATTTTAACTAAAGTCTTAGTTGAAATGAAAAAGTTAGTATCATGAGTGGGATTTGAACCTACGACCTTCGGCTCAATATGCCGCTGTTCGAACTTGAGACGTAGCCAATGACACTAACTTTTTCATCTCAACCAAGACTTTAGATAAAAAAATATAATTAATTAAAATAATTAATACAGTCAATTATGACTAATGAACATATATGGACATCACTAATTTTGCAAAGCAGGCTGCAATGTAGGAATAACAAATTACTTAATAATTATGTTTGTTTTTTTAAAAGCATGGAAATTTTTAAGACTTTTTTAAAAAATATTGATAAAAAAACAATAGCTTGTAGTTTTTTAAAAAGTAAATCCATTACTTATTTAAAAATTTGTTTGGACGTGTCGAGAATTTACATTTTATATTTTTTTAATCATTTTTTTTAAATATTTCATTTCCTACATGGAATTAGTTTTATAGCAAAACCAAAAAATTTCATAATCATGCCCTATATTTTGTTATATTTATTCTTGGAATCCAAAAACTGTATTATCTTTTGTATTTTCCATTATGGTGAACTAAAATGTATTATTATTAATTTGACAGGGAATCAACTATCATTACGTAAAATGAATGACGGTGATTTAAATCATCGCTGATATATTTATATATATATATTTTTTAAACTTGAGATGTCCTGTGATTTTGGGCAAAAATGTTTAAACACTTAAGATTAGAAAATGTGAAACCCATTTTTGTCTTTGTGTGATAGCAAGCATTCAACAGAAGAACTTTTCTAAATTTATTTATTTTTTTGCTTCAGTTTCATCTATTTATATATATTTTTTCCGTTTCTGAGGACAAAATTGAATGCGGCATGTTTTTGGGCCAACGGTGGTAATGAAGGAACGGAAGTCCAAGTGGTGTTTTGAGAAAAGACAAAAGAATTAGCCAGGCAACAGGCTCGTCCTTGGGTCCGGGATATTTTTATGCAATCCCCGAAAGGTCGAAATACCTCCTGAAAACTTCTGAGGACGTGTACGGAGTTCTTGAATAACGGAAAACACTTCCCCAGAGGAAGACGGGCCTCGAGTGTACTGTCAAAATAAATTTAAAAAACCCTGCAAGTTTCGATGGAATTCTTACCCAATGAAAGTTTATTAAATAGATGTTGATGAACTCTTGTCAGCAGTTTATCGCCTCGAACGATATTTTTCCTTTTATTTTTCTGGAATATACTATTACTTGTCTCAAATTGCTGTTTTTTGACATGAAAGGCTGAAAATCAACGTAACCAGCTCAAAATTTATGAAGTTTCAAGTTTCCTCAACCAAGATAAATTTCTATTTTCAAAGGGCTTTTAAACAAAGAAAGCTAATTATAACCAATTAGCAATTATCAACAAAGCTGTTAGGCTTACAAGCTTGAAGTTTATGTAAAAGAAGTCGAACATACAAGTTTAAATTACCTCAATAGGAATTGTGAATGCATACATATTTAGATTTTAGAGCATGCCCGCCCGAGAAATGTAGAGTACTTTGAGGTGAGTGTGTGACGTTTGGAGAGAAAAGTAATTTATCAGCGTGAATGAAATGAGTCTTACCCCGCCTCGAGGGATACCAGTTGGCGGAGTGATCAGACTTCTATCTATGCATCGGGCGCTGTTTTATGTTAAACTATTAGAATGGATGCAATTTATTACCGTGAAAGGAAGGGGTTGCTTATAACCCCGTCCTGAGGTATATCGAGTACTCTGGAGTAAGCGTACGACGTCTGGAGAGAAACGTTATTTATCAGCGTGAATGAAATGAGTCTTACCCCGCCTCGAGGGATACCAGTTGGCGGAGTGATCAATCTATGCATCGGGCGCTGTTTTATGTTAAATTGTCAGAAGGAATGTAATTTATTATCGAGAAAGAAAGGGGTTGCTTATATCCCCGTCCTGAGAAATATCGAGTACTCTGGGGTAAGTGTGCGACGTCTGGAGAGAAAAGTAATTTATCAGCGTGAATGAAATGAGTCTTACCCCGCCTCGAGGAACATCTACTCTGGAGGAGTGAATGTGACTAGACTTATATGCTTGTACTGATGTATAAAGGCGCATTGTATGCTTTATTTCTAATCTGTATCCCAAAACCTGAGTATAAACGAGAGGCTAGCGTTGCAGGATATCGACGCTCAAATGGCTGCAGTTTAAAAGAAAATATGCCAGAAAGATCAGAAAAAGAAGGAAAACTCAAAGAGGGCTGGCGATGACCTCAGCTGTTTGTTGGCTCCAAACCTCTCTTTTTATGTATATAACTATGCCATTTATATGTGATATCATGATTTTTTATTTTAAATTTACGACTTTACGTAGAAGTTACAACTGTCAACCGCTATAATTAACCTAACTATAAATAACAATACTTTTTAACCATTGTCCGGTCACAGACGACCCAGAACATGTTTCTGTACCTACGCTCACCCTTGCGAATTCTGAGAGAAGGGCATAAGACCAGTTGCCCAGAAGCCGCCAAAGGTAAGTCTTCCAACGCACACTATGCTATTTTGTGATGTCTTTGAAGACAACTAAAAATATAACACTTCTGCCAGGACTTAAGGGGAGAGCCAGAGGAAGAGTGTTTTCTTTTTTTATTACTAACCAAATGTCTTATCAGAAGCAATATACCAACGAAGAAATTATAAAAAAATCCATGAAAACAGTCATATTTAGGTCCGGCTGATCTACTGGAGATCAAAGCCCTCCTCGGTTTGCGGCTCATGGCTGGAATTCTGTAATGTTCTGGACAGAATTGCTATTTTCCACCTCACTTCAATAAAGACTGATTTTTCTTGGTTATAATTTTATATATATTCAAAATCTATTGCTATGGTTCAAAATTTTTAAAATTGATAACACTATGATGTAACTTTTCTATGATGTTATTCCTTCGAATATTAATCAGGATTATTATACATTTATTTTTAAGAGAAAACTAAGGCGGTGAAAAATAGTGAAAAATAGTCTTAGAAAAAAATATGATTTTAAACTTGCAACAATTGTAAATTATATCGGATGATAGCTCAAGTGGTAGAGCAGCGGGGTATTTAGCCGTCGTGGGTTCGAATCCCGCTCGTGGCACTGACTTTTTTATCTCGACCAATACTTTACTTAAATATTAATTAATTGTAAATTATATGTTTATACATAAAATGAACATTGTTATTTATTTCAAACCCG